AGCATGGCCCCTGCGCAAGGATGACACGCAAATTCGTGAAGCGTTCCAAATTTTTTTTGTTTTCTGTCATGAAACTGTAGGGTAGAGAAACATTGAAAGATACTGCTTTACTGATATATATTCAAGCAGTAGTGGTTTTTATTTCTTTACAATTCGGAGTATATTCTTACCGTAGTTGTATGATCCTTTGGCAAAAATGGTGACAAATATAGATAATCAGGTTTGCACTTTTTGATTAATGCTTGATAATGTGTAGTAGTATGTGCATGAACAATGACACGACATTGTGCAATAACCGTTGTTATCGAAAAATGTTTCTGCTCAAAAGTTGTTACCACGAAAAAAAGCTTGGAAGGTCATTCTGTAATCTAGAGGAGAATACTTAGATTCATAATTCTAGAGAAAAGAAATACACTTTGCAAGGCGAAAGGAGGAAACTTCTGATAAGATATAACTACTGAATATAAGTATGAACACTTCTTGGTTATAGATAACCCATAGACATATAACGTTTAATTGATTCTTTCTTCGAAATATTATCTGGTCCAGAGTTGATATTTTGAAAAGAAACTTCTTGCTTTCACTTCATACTCCAACTCCATTCAATTGTTTTCTTTTTCTGTTTTGGAGCCTTTTGTACCTTGTAGGTTATTATTTGTTTTGTATAAGCTTATCAATCGGTTTCTGTCGTTTTCTACCCATCAGTTCCTAATACATATTGGCTCTAATTAGAGTGTATTATATGCCCTTTGAAATAACGCTTCCACTCTTCCATGCACATATTTTCTCTCTGATTACTATCACTTCTGTATATAATATTGAAGCCTTCCACCTCTCTGGAGTAGCCTGAGGCAATTTAAATGATCTTACAATACTTTGATGAAATATTCTTATCTAATCATATCTTAAGGCAAAAAAAAGAAAATGACCTCATGAGACTATCGTATCGCGGCTCATTATGATTTAAACGAAGATAAGACTCTTATTGCAGCAGATCTTAATTTTTTAAACTTTTGTAATTTTTCCGCTTCTCAGATATATGAATGCTTGTTTGGTTATACCTGAAATCATGTTCATTTTGAACATTTTCTATGTTAAGCTCATGAATACCTGTTTATTTTCTCTATTGCCATTTCCTACATAGAATGTTTTACTAATAGAACAAGATTTCAACCAGCTGTCTTTTCAGGGTAAAATGTCACGAAGGGGCACCAGTGAGAAAACACCTTTGCTTACCCCAAAACTTTCACGATCATCTTCAAGCAGGTTTGTTTTCTTTCATGCAGTTCTTCGTGAGAAGAAAAGATTTCCCATGCCCTTAGGAGGACGGCATTAGGTTATTGTAAAGTTTCGCAAATACGAGCATTTCTTCGTAAACGTTGATGCAGTTTTCGAAAGTGAATCTTTCCATATGACTCCAACACTTTTTTCTTTCATAAACTCCATGAGTTTATTGCTATGAATTGTTAGCGATGATCTCGACCAGAGGGAAGAGAGCAAAAAGCAAATCCTTGACTGGATTTCTAAGCTACGCTTTTATTGATTTCCCTGAAGAATGCATTATATATTTGTAATATTAACTTCACTCCATTACATATTACATGCAGTTTTTTAACATTCACAACTTTCCCATATTAATAACTATATTTTCACGAGAATCAATCAAGAATCATCAAATTATTTTGAATTTGCCAAAAAGAAAATAACTCACATTTCACTAGCATATGTCGTGACAAGCGAATACTATGCCATGTTCACGTGAAGCTCACGGGTATCTCATTCGTTCATAACGCATCATAAACTTGGTCAACTTATTTTCGTAATGGATTATCTGAAAATATTTTATTTTATTAGGATAAATATAACCGTGTAAAGTGTTTCATGAATACAAAAACTGATAATTCCTCACCACTTTTATCAGAAGAGTAAGTTAAAGATTAAAATTTTACTTTTTTTCTTCTTCCAAATTTCTTTCAAATCAATCCATTTCAGTACCGTAGAAGGTAAAGATGATACGATAGTGCAAATTAGTACTCTAGGAATTGTAAGGTTTATAAACATATAACTTACTTATTGGCGTTTTTATAGTTATCCTTTGCTTCTAAACTTGATTATGTTTACTTAATTGTTGGTACACTAGCATCCTTTCTTCATGGAGCTGGATTTCCTATTCTCGCCATTGTACTGGGTGGGATGACCTCCACTTTCCTTCGAGCTCAAAACTCGGAATTCGTTGTTGGTGTTGGCAAAGCAGATCCCAATGGATTACCTCAAATTAGCCAGTAAGTTCTAGTTTCAATATCGGAGCAATCAGTTTTTCAGAGATTTTTTCAACGATCAAGTTGGGCAATACTGTTTATACTATCTCTATCTAGGTGTTGCTATGTTTGTTACTTCCTATGTCCAGGTAGGGTGAGCCAAGTTTGAAGCTTTCAACTAAGATCAATTTAAGATTGTATGTTATGAAATCTTCTCAGAAAAAATTACGCATAATCTTCGTCAACACTATTTAAAAGCCATTTTGCGTCAGCAAATAGAGTGGTTTGATAACCAACAGTCAGGAAACCTGACAGCCAGGCTTACAGAGTGAGTTCTTCAGACAAATCATAAATAATTATATGACGCATTAGTGATTTGGAGCGGGTTCGTGAAGGACTGGGTGACAAGCTCTCTCTACTAGTTCAAATGTTCGCTGCCTTCTTATCTGGATTTGGAATAGGATTTTACTACAAGTATCGAAATTGACAAACCGTTTGAAACCCATTAGTTCAGTTGGTCCATGACTCTTGTTATGCTGATTACTGCACCTTTCGTTGTTGGATCAGGAGCTTGGATGAGCAAGAACGTCGCTTCACGGTGATGCCTACATAAAAAAGCTTTTAATCAAAATCGTTACAGTACGCAACTTGAACAAGAAACTTATGCAGTAGCTGGGGGTATAGCTGAAGAAACTTTCTCATCTGTCAGAACTGTGCTGGCTTTTAATGGCCATCGTCGTGAGCTGAAAAGGTTTGCAAAAGAGTATCAAAACTTACAACTGGTAGTTAGATTCGAAGAGGCTCTAGAAAATGGAAGAAAGACAGGAATAGTCAAATACTTCTACATGGGGGTTGGTGTCGGGTTCGGCAACATCTGTATGTATGCTTCTTACGCATTGGCGTTCTGGCAAGTATTACATATTATATAAAAAAACACGACATGACGTTTAGGTATGGAGCTCAAATCATTGCAAACGACCCAAGTTTCGATAGAGGAAGTATCTTCACGGTATTTTACAAAGCTGCCCCTAAAACTTTCGAAATGTTATTCAGGTCTTCTTCTCGGTTATGGCAGGATCAACAGCTTTAGGATCAGCTCTACCTCACGTGAGCTCCCTTTCTATTGCGATAGGAGCAACAAGAACTGTGCTATCTGTGTTAAATAATGTTAGGTTCAACCCGTTTTCATTGGATATATCGAAGCATTTAAGATTCCTAAAATTGATCCATACTCACTTGATGGCATCATCTTGAACGATATGAAAGGAAGTGTACAGCTGAAAAATGTTTATTTCCGTTATCCTTCCCGCAGAGATGTTCCCGTATGTGAAGAATATTGTGAAAAAAGTTTAGAAATTCTTTCAGATACTGAAAGGAGTCTCGCTCTCTGTAAAAAGTGGTCAAAAAATCGCTTTAGTAGGTTCCAGTGGTTGTGGTAAATCAACAATAATTAACTTACTTCTACGTTTCTATGACGCTGAGAAAGGAAAAGTGAGTCCTCGCCTTTTTATAAATATACCTGCTTCATAGGTTTCAATAGACGGAGTTGACATAAAAGATTTGAACGTCCACAGCTTGCGTGATCATATCGGTATTGTTAGTCAAGAACCTGTACTCTTTGATGGTACTCTATATGAGAACATACGAATGGGAAATGAAAACGCTCGACACGAGCAGGTAGTGGAAGCTTGTAAAATGGTATAAAATACAGCTTTGTATAAAAATCCTGGGTAATTTGTTTGAAGGCTAATGCAGCAGACTTCATCAAGCTTTTGCCTGATGGCTACGGCACCCGTGTTGGTGAACGAGGAGTTCAGTTGAGTGGAGGACAGAAACAACGTATTGGTGAGAACTCTGAAAACTTGATAATTAATAAAAATTAACAACATAGCGATTGCGCGAGCTCTGATCAAGAATCCTAAGATACTTCTCCTCGATGAAGCAACCTCAGCTTTAGACACAGAAGCCGAATCTGTTGTACAAGAAGCTCTCGATAAGGTTCATTCATAAAAAAAAGTAAAAATTCAATCGGTTGCATTCAGGCGCAAACTGGACGCACAACCATTATTGTGGCTCACCGTTTGTCAACAATCCGTAATTGCGACCAAATTTTCGTGTTCAAGGTTTGAATTATAATTTGAAAAAAAAGAAAGTTTTCTGTTTTAAGAGTGGGAATATTGTTGAACAGGGAACTCATGAAGAACTTATTAACAAACATGGAGTATTTTATGAAATGACACAAGCTCAAAAGCTTAGAAGTCAAGAAACTGAGGAACATGAAAGTATTACATAATGTGCCGATCATCTTTACTCACAATATTACAGAAGCAGAGGATGAATATCCTGATGAACTTTCTCGTGCCGGAAGTAGTAAAAGTCTTCACTCGCATGCCATGCTTCGTCAGTTATCCACCCGAAGTGTTACCTCTGTAGCAACAAGCACGATCAAAAGCTTACAGACTGAATGTGAGGTGGGGGTTAACACTCATAAGAATTCTAACCTCCATTACTTTTTAAGCAAGCCCAGCTTGCTCCAACTTCATTGGGAAAGATATTCTGTTTCAACCGGGACAAATGGGGATGGGCTATCCTTGGTTTGATAGGCGCTTTCATGTTCGGCTTGATGACTCCCATCTTCGCATTGCTATATGCAGAGATTTTTAACGTGAGTTTAACTGCTGAAAGAGAGCTACAAATTTTATTTAAGGTTTATTCGAAACCAGTGGATGAAATGCAATCACAAGCTTTAATATGCTCATTAATTTTCCTTTTCCTAGGATTTGTCCATGCTCTAGGTTTCTTTATTTCGGTATGTGTTTATTTGAAAACTAGTCTGTATTCACTTCTTCGTAGGCAAACTCGTTGGGAAGATGCGGAGAAGGATTGACCAAAAAACTACGATTCGAAGCCTTCAAAAATTTACTCCGACAAGACATCGGTTTCTATGATGATATAAGGCATGGTACCGGTAAGCTATGTACTCGTTTCGCTACTGATGCTCCGAACGTACGATATGTGAGTAACATTAAGGAAAATAAGTGAAGCTATATTTCATTCAAGGTTTTCACCCGATTACCCGTTGTTGTCGCTTCATGTGTTACTTTGACGGGTGGACTGGTCATTGCATTCATTTATGGATGGCAACTAGCAGCTATTTTGATTATTATGGTTCCCTTAATCATAATCAGTGGCTATTTTGAGATGAAGATGCAGGTAAGCATGCTCGAAAAAATGCCTACTTTCAATTTTGTTCAGTTCGGCAAAAAAATCAGAGATACCGAACTCTTAGAAGAGGCTGGCAAAGCTGCAGCACAAGCAGTCGAGAATATTCGTACTGTCCAATCCTTGAACAGACAGGAACAGTTCCATTTCATATATTGTGAATTTTTACGAGAGCCACATAGGTAAAACTTAAGATAATTTCTACTAAATATTCGTGCTGCAGAGAGAATTTATGTCAATCTCACACTTATGGAGGAGTGTTCGCTTTTTCCCAGTCCCTTATATTCTTCATGTATGCAGTAGCTTTCTGGATGGGGCACAATTACGTAAATCAAGGAATTATGCAACCAATGGATGTGTATCGGTAAGAGAACTATATTATTCGCAGTAACTTCATAATTGAAAACACTGAGTTGAAATCATTCGGGCAGAATCTTTCCGATTCTGCTTCTGTCATGTCTACATTTAGCTCACTTTATCCTCGTTTCCATAGAACGTAGATATAAAATGTGAATAAGGACGGCTATCCCTATGTCTCCTATCCACTTGAAAATAAAAGGCATATAGTAGAGGGTTAAGAAGAAATTGCATTCATTATTAAGCATTGCTAAATAAGCTAAATATAGTGGCTTGCATGGAGAGAACAAAGATAATAAGAAGATTTGTGTTGCAAATAGCATGACCTTGTCAAATCTTACCACTAGAGCTGGTGGGATAGCGCATAATAATCAGAGTGTCAGAGACAATGCTTAGCAGTTGGTCGCTCTTGGAACATCTGGGGAATGAGTGTATGCCTAATCGCTTGCATGGTGACCTCAAGTTTCAAGCCAAACGATAATTTTGTTTGCGAACATAACATGTAATGAGAAGTAGTAGTAATAATAGTAGTTGAAATTAAGAACTTTGGACAGGGTTTTATAGAGACCACGGTTGAGAGCATGAAAATAAGTTTAAAAGTATTTCTTCTGATATCTACCAATGCCTCCAACGACAAACTCACAGAACGGTTGACATCGCTATCAATTTGCGGATTTTTGTTTCTTAAAGACAGAACACTCAGTTAGATTCGTCCCGATATAAACTCTTCATTTCTGTTCATTTTCGTTGTGATGAAAATGGTTCATGAAAATAAGAAATGATCAATCATGAATACTGATAAAATATTTATCTTTCCCCGGCGAACCTGTTTCCTAGATAGTACATCCTAGAGAATAGTGCAGAAATAACAGCGCCAGCATGCAAAAACGAAACAACAACTCGGATCATTTAATTTTCACTATTTCCAGAGTCTTCTTCGCCATATCTCTCAGTGGTCAAGTAATAGGAAACGTGTCATCATTCATACCTGATATAGTAAAAGCTCGTCTGGCTGCTTCACTTTTATTCCATCTCATTGAACACCCTAGTGAGATCGACTCTTTGTCACAAGATGGTCTGCAAAAGGTAATGATTAGTAAAACCTTTGGAAACATAATTATTCAACAATAGAATCTGGAAGGACATATTTCATTGAACAAACTTCACTTTAACTATCCAACTAGGAAGCATACCAAAGTGTTACAAGGGCTTACCCTAGATGTATGTTCTAACATAATAATTCAAAGTTCAAATCACAATTTAAGATAAAAAAAGGAAGTACTGTGGCTTTAGTTGGGCATTCTGGTTGCGGTAAGAGCACAGTAATGGGTCTGTTGGAACGTTTCTATAACCCAGCAAAAGGAACTATTGTATGAGTTTCTGTTCACTATCTCTTCACTCTCTCTTTCTCTTTAGATGATTGATGGCGAAAACATCAAAAATATTAATATTCAAAAATTACGAGAACAAATATGTATCGTGAGTCAAGAACCAACTCTGTTCGATTGTACTATTTCAGAGGTACTCGATATAATATCATTTTTTAATTACAAAACGCAATTTAGAACATTTTATACGGGCTAGATCGAGAAGCTAGTTACGAAGAGATTGTGCACGCCGCCCAAATGGCAAACATCCACAACTTCATAATGTCGCAACCTCAGGGATATGATACCAGGGTTGGAGAGAAGGGAACTCAATTATCGGGAGGTCAAAAACAAAGAATAGCCATTGCACGAGCATTGATACGTAACCCCGCTATATTATTACTCGACGAAGCGACATCTGCATTAGACACAGAATCAGAAAAAGTTTTTGTACTTTGAGAAACATAACTCATCAGCATAATTCAGATGGTTCAAGACGCTTTAGAAACAGCTAGAGAAGGCAGGACCTGCTTAGTTATTGCTCACAGACTTTCGACCATTCAAAACAGTGATGTGATTGCTGTAGTTAGCGAAGGACGCGTAATTGAGAAAGGTGATATAATCGTTAGGTCTTCGTACGTTTGTTTCTTAAGGTACTCACGAGCAACTCTTACAAAAATCAGAAATATATCAAAAACTATGTGCAACTCAGAGGCTAGTGGAATCACAATAGAACTGTTATGTAATTTTTTATTGTTCGCCTGTTTCATAATCAAAAATAAACATGATCAATCCATTTATTTCAGACGGTATTAGATTAAATACTGAGATCAAAATGTTACAGTAAAGTGAGATTGTGAGATTTCAGTTTTGATTATGTAATTGAACGGAATAACAAATGCCTTGGGCAAACACAAATACTGGAACAATTATTTAGCCTTTGCTTTTCCTGTTTTTTTGGGACTGCCTGCAGTACTAGCCTTGTAAGCAGCCATCTCTTTATCATATCTCTTCTTCTCTTCAACAGCAAGCTTCTCCCACTTAGTTTTATCCTTGACTTTTCCCCATTCAACTCCAGCAGCCTTAAAAGATGGACATAAATGAACGAGCACACCCAAGTTCAAATTACCCTTGTTACATCCACAACGCTCATTCCCGGTTGGGTCAAACTAGCACGATTCTCCTTCAACCACAACATGTAAGCAGATTGTCCTCTCTTGGGCGCATTTGGATCTTTCTTCTTTCTTTGAGTCTTCTTCTCTGGCGTTTTGGTTTTTTTTGGGCTCGTAGAACCAGCTGCCTTCTTTGGCCTAGCCATATTGAAAATATGGCTAACATAAAAAAAAAATTAAAAAATTATTCGCAAAAAAAAAACATAATAGAATATTAACAAATAATGACCATTTAAGAACAACAGAGGCCGACACATGCACTCAGGTAAATGAAAATAACTGATTGAACGCCCTTAACGTCTAATTTCGCGCCCAAATAATTTAAGGGGCGGAGCTTCGAGTAGCCAATGGGATAATTCGAGAGGCTTAGACAATGCGTGAAGAGAGAGCGTTGAGAGTGTGAGTGTGCAGACAGACGCCAAGCCTATGTCCGGCAAGACGATTATTTGCCCACAGCCAGAACCCTTTCTCGTCTCTATATTCGTATTCTGTCTAAATCTATTCCAGTAAATTACAAATATTAATTATATATATATATAAATATCCACTCCTATTGCTTAAATACTACAACCCATGTTCTCAATAATTTTCTTCCGAAACTCCCAAAAAATTGAAAATTCGGCTGTCCCAGCTCTCGAATCGAAAGAAGCGTCCTGTTTATCTTGAATTCTGGACTTTTCCTAGCGTAGTTACTTTTCACTTTGCTTTTACGATTATATCATCACTCTATTGATAACGTTAATAAGTTAGACTTTACAAAATAAACAACGATATCTTTTGGCTTCCTTATATTTGAAGCTCACCGAATTTCCTTCAATTCTTCTTCTCAATCTTCTCTTAATTATAATAATGCTTCATCTATATCTCTCTATCTCTGCCCTTCCTGCTGAAGTCTTACTGGTCCCGTTCGGAAGGGCTGTCCTGCGCATCAAAAGAACGCTGCGCGTGCACGCTCGCGTTACCCCTAGCAAAGGGTCAGAATATCGATAACCAATGCTGTTCTTGATGTATTCTTTTCTGCTTCTGAATTCTGACTTTTGAACTTGCTTCTCCTTCTTTCTCGTTTCCTAATTTTTTTAAATTTATAGGTTGGCCAATCTTCTAAAAATGGCCGACGTAGAGATGCAGGAGGGTGCAACAGTGGAATCCGATAAGAAGCCTGCAGTCGAAGAAGAGAGTGTTGAACAAGTTAACGCAGAGCCATCAGAAGAAGTACCCGAGACTGAAGGTGTTGCCACTCCCGACCCAGCTGAAGTTAAAAAGGAGAATGCTGCTGCTGCTAGTTCGGTACCATTGTTTTCATTTTATTTTTTCCTCATGTGTTGCCTATAGGTTTATGCTGAAAACGAGACCTTCGGCAAATTAATAGCCCAAAACATGAAAGTTGGTGTTGCCGAAGCTCTCATGAAACTTTTTGATACCGGATGTATGTCTATCGATGATGTTGATGAAAGAGCAGTAGAAATGCTCAACTCATTCCCTGAAGAACATGGTATATATATTTGCGATCAACTTCGAGTAAGTTTTATGCAGAATATGGTTTAATTTATTTCGTTCTTAGGAATCAATGTTATTTGGTGTTCAAAATAAGCCACAATACCTCATGTCGTTGATGCGGAACTTCCGTGACAAGACCAGAAGTGTTGGAACAGCAGCTGTAAGTCGTTTTATTTGGAATTATCCTAAATCATGTCTCTAGGTACTGCAAGGCCAACTCATAACAGGGCCTGAGCGTTCCAAAATGCAAGAAATATTAGATAGAACAGGCTATACACTAGAAATTACCGTTGGGCAAAGAAAGTATGGAGGTCCCCCACCGGAATGGGAAGGACCTATAACTGGACCCGCTGGTCAGGGCCATGAGGTGGGCTAACTACTCAGATTTTTCTATCTATTCATTTTTTTCAGATTTATATAGGACATATCCCCCACGAGCTTTTTGAAGACTCTTTAATCCCTCTCTTTGAGCAATGCGGAAAAATATGGGATCTTAGATTGATGATGGATCCCATTACAGGACGAAACCGCGGATATGCTTTCCTCACTTACTGTGAGAAGTCCTTCGCTAGTGAAGCAGCCAAAAAGGTACATTTTCTTATTTTTCTCTTTCTTGCGCGTTTTGTTAAAGTTTTGTGAGTATGGCGAGGTAGGTTAAGACTTATTCTTTTGATGTCGTTCTGGATTCCTTCTCTTTTGCGTGGACGTCTCTTGTCTGTTCTCTTCGCCACAGAGTTGTTCGAGTTTTTGCACGGTTTTTGTCAACTTTATTATATTTTCAGTTTTTTTACCTTTTTATCTATATATTAAAAAGTGCATCAATAATTTGCGCTAAACTTTAAAAAACGCTGAAAACAAGCGAACAACAATCTGTGCATTCAGTTTGATGGTCACGAAATTTCTCCCGGAAAAACGCTGAAAGTGAACGTCTCAGTTGCAAACACTCGCCTCTTCCTGGGCAACATTCCCAAGTCGAAATCTAAAGATGAAATTCTTGAGGAGCTTAAAAAGCACGCAGGTGAATTCCACCGGCTCTTTGGAACCGTTTTTTCTCCATTTTTGCTAGAAGCTGGACAGTAGTCAACAAGGGCTTTTTTGAGAATTATCTATACTAAACGTAAGATATTCAGAGGGTGTCGTTGATGTGATCGTATACACCATCCCTGATGCCACTGATCGACATAAGAACCGTGGATTCTGTTTTGTTGACTTCAGCGACCACAAGACTGCCTCTGATGCCAAGAGAAAGATTCAGCAACACAAGGTGATTTTTAAATGATTTCAATTTCCTTCACTTCAAAGTGTTTTTAGATTCGTCCATTTAATACTGATTTGGTTGTTGACTGGGCAGAGCAGCAAGACGAGCCTGACGAGGACACCATGAGCAAGGTATGACTGAATGTATGTACTGTTGTGTTCAATCATAGTTTTCAGGTGAAAGTATTATATGTTCGCAATTTACGCGAATGTGTTTCCGAAGAGAAGTTAAAAGAACTCTTCGCCTCTTTCGGTGAAATAGAGCGAATCAAGAAAATCAAAGACTATGCCTTTGTTCATTACAAAGATCGCGATTCGTGCCTAAAAGTGAGTGTTTCGTTTTTTTTTATACTTTCACGGACTGACATTCTTAGGCCCTTGAAGAATGGAACGGCAAAGAATTGGAGGGAGTCTGTATAGACTGTTCCTTAGCTAAGCCTCAGACAGAGAAGAAGAAACGCCCAACTAGAGGGAGAGGTTTTGGCGGAAATACTAACGCTGGTCCTGGTTTCGGTGCTCCAGCAGGTGCTGGCGGACCTGGACGTGGACGAGCTAACAATATGTACCCCAACCAGTATGTCTTTGAGTTTTGATCGTGTTTAAATATTTCTTATAGTCGTGGATTTGATGACGGATATTACGGTGGAGGAGGTGGCTACGGAGAAGGCTACGGTGCCCCTTACGAGAATTATGGGCATGGAGGTGGCTTCGGCGGCCCTGGTTATGGTGCTCCCATGGGGTATGGTGGATATGGTGATGCCGGAGGCTACGGCGGAGCCGGTGGATATGGCCAACATGGCTTCGGTGGAAACTTTGGCGGAAACTGGGGCGGCGGCGGAGGAGGCCGTGGCAACAGTGGACGTGGAGGACGAGGCGGCGGATCCGGCTTCCGAGGGTATGTTAAGCTCTAGAAGAAATGATGAGCATAGAATAATGTCAGACGTGGAAAAAGACCTGGAGATAGGATGGGAGGTCCAGCATCCAAGAGAGATAACAGTGCTCCTGATTTCTCGGCGGACGTGAGCATGAGTTCTTTCTAGTTTAATAGAATCTCACTTAACCGTATAATTATATTGAACATTTCATCACGAATCGGGGGTAGTCCAAAGGTGTCTCCGCTGTTTAGTTTACTTGTTGTTATACTTTTGCATTCTTTGATTCAATTCATTACTATTGTCAATATGTCACGTTGTTTGTAGCCGAAGTTCGTACCGAGTTTCCTATTTGTATCTGAATCAAGCTTAAGCTTCTTAAATAACATTCATTGTTTTGCGGTTATTACCGCGTGATGATCGTGTCCTCCGTATCTCGTAAGTTGTTATTTATAATATAATAAATATTTCGAAGTCGCCATTTATATGTTAAAATATGAACTGTCTTGTTAATATAACAGTTACCTTTGACTCAATTTTTTCAACTCTATTTCTGTTCTTCATTCAGTGTAATGCAGTCCAGCGAAAGGGTCGTAGTAACAGGTCATAGAGCCGATCGCTTGGCTAGTAGTAAGAAATATTATATCTTTTCTTACATTCGTTATAAACATTAAGGATTATGCGATGTTATTGGAGAGTTTTTATATGACATATCGCATACAGTCGTCTTCCGTTTCGGAGCTTACACAGACGAATCATTCCGAAATGGACATTTTGGAAATGTTCCCGTCATGGTACAACTGAAACTTCTTCTCGAAGGTGTTTTTTATTTCAGAGATGTGTAGACCATAAGTTCGTCAATTATTTACAGCGTTCCATATCTGTTGTAAGAAATGCTTTAAAACATCACCATCTGGAAAAGTTCGAAGGTTTGAATTATTCGTTCATTTCTTCGAACACTACGTTACAGTATGCATTGTGGATGCCCAAGAAGTATCGTTGTTTTCCCTACGAGTTTCAATGAGACAAATTTCAAGCTTTCAAGACGAGCAATTGTTCACCGCACTCACATTAATTCAAAACATTAACAACCAATTTTAGAAAAGCGCTCGATTCGAGAGCTGATGATCTCCGACGAAAATTTGCGCCTGCTTTGCTAGCCCTGCAGACAATGAAGATACCATGTGCCCTGATGGAACTACTGCAGAAAACCCGTAAGTCAAAGAAGAAGCTACAGTTCTGCTAAAAAAAGTACTTCCAGCTACTCGTCCTCGAATACGACTGTTGACAACAACCACCGATTGTCACGGTATGAAAAAAATATCATGTCCTCCTATGTATACCCATGTTTTAATGCCCTGGTCTGATCCAGTCGAAAACGATTTCAACCAAGTGAACATAGTTTTGCTGTTTGTTTATTCGAATTTGTTGTTTTCAGCTAATTTTTACAGCCTTCATGATAGAACAGACTTAGATCGCGATATTCATTCTCACAGATGTTACGCTATTCCATACGAACAAATAAAAATACAAAACAATATCATTTGAAACATCGGATCCATGAATGGAGGACGATCGTAGAGAAAAAGGGCTCGCCGTCAGTTGTTAAATGGCGTCCAAAAAAACACTACAATCTCAGTGAAGTGGTTGATTAGGATGGTGAGAACCACAATTAAAAAAGAGCAAGTTGTCTAACACTATAAGTTTTATACTAGTCTCTAACACAGTTTAAAGAGGTAGTGAGGAAAAGAAAGGAGGATACAGGGTCTACCTGTGTAGTTTTGACTAAGATGATCGGTTAGACCGATCTCAAAATTTAGAAAAGAAAAAGGCAGAAAATGCCTGAAGGGATAGAACCCGTTAAGGGGGGAAGGTAGAATCCAAAAAAACATGGAGACATAACCTTTCGAACCCGGGAGCACCGTATGATGGTATTAGGCTTAATACTATGTACATTAGGGCGTAGTATAGTTTGCTTGGTATTATGAACAATATTAGAAAGTGCAAGATCTCAAATAAAAGTAACAAGGTGGCTTGAAAAAGAGGAACCATGGAACCGTTACAAAGATCACCATATAATATACATAGACCCAATATGCTTATAGAAGTTAACACCATCAAGCCGGAATCACATAGAAACACTAGATTATAGCAGTAAAACAACACCGCATTTTGTACCTTGTACAGGATAAACAGACACAAAGACCATGCATATATTAGAGCTTTAGAGCAACGAGGTCGTCGAACAACGTCACTGAGGGGTCAACTGGCGCTCTTTCATACAAATTACCATGTACAAAATAATGGAGAGCAAGAGAAGAAGAGCACAAGTGGACCCAACAGCTTGTAATAAAAAAAAACGTGTCGACTAGTGTATGTTGCCGTCTATTCGCTATATACAGTCTGCATAACTCAATGCCTGGACTGGAAATGTACAAAAAGCAGGTGACCCGACTGGTTCACAGGAGAGGGACGATGATGAGAAAAGAAGAACTTCGACAACAGCTGAACATTCTAATACCAAAACCAAAAACTTATAGAATTCTAGAAATGCTCTGCTGTTCAAAAATATAGGCCAAGAAGCGAGACGCCATAAGAATATTCTAAATGGTTACCCGGATCGGGGGAAGGGTCGATATCAACCATTAAAAGGTTAATTATATAAAGCGGGCAAGTGAGATAATAGAAAAACGACCCAACCAAATACAATGATTGTGAGACTTGGGATGAATAAATTGGTTTGAGAGAACTAGAGATCCCTATTAATACACCAGAAGCTCTAAGCAGAGCAGTGTGATGATAACAACAGAGAAAACAAAGGTTGTTAGACGATATATATATTATATAGGTATAATATATATATTTGTATATAGCTATGGAAAATCAAGAACATAAAACGATTACTACTTACTAATCTCCAGTTCTAGTGACTCTAGAATAGGCTTTTGCAAATAGGGACGCCAAATTAATAAGGAGAGAAACATATTAGGAGATAGAGGTAGATATTACAGAAAAGAACGATTAAAATATGATTAGAAAAAAAGCTACGTGAAAAGTTGAAAAGCCATCGTACAGAAATGCGATTTCAGAACCAGAGTCACCTTTTAGGAGGCACCAACCGTTACGGCAGCTATGAGTTGTAAAGGGTTAAGACGAATGCCGACGGGAGAATGTGCTTCCATAGAAGACTGGCTGCTTACGCTTCCTGCTCTATCAGTAGAGGATACAGACTCAGCCATTGAACCCGTGTCAGATTCACTTCCTGAGTTGCAAAGCTGAAACCAAAAAATTTGATTTGCCATAGTACATGCAACTTACTTCACCGAACCAGTCGCTTGGTGGAAGAGGAATAGCACGTGCGGATGGAGAATCACTGAATTTGCTTCCGGCGAAGCATGGATTGCTATTGGAATTCTGGCGGCGTGGACAAGTGTTACGACGTTGACCAGGGGTTCGGCTCTTAGGGGTATGAGGGATAGATACAGAGCTAGTACTCGAAGCAAAAGTAACCCTTAAATTTGTGAATTTTAATTTTTAAAATATTGAAACGTTCACATACCTATTCTGAGATCGAGATGGTGAATTAACAGGTTGAGAAATGTACGACATACTTAACAAAGGGAATTTAAACACTTAAACAGAATTAACAATAGTATGAATTAGTTTTAAAGCGCAGAGGGCCACTGATCGGTGTGAATATCACCTGTAAAGAAATTATTAGATTGACCTAGAGTTCAAGCACCTACCTTAATAATATCCTTCGTTCAACGACAGATCTTACTGTAACTGAGGTGAACCCAATTAACATAAAATATTCTCCTGGTGTTTTGGAGAAGACAAGCTTGCTTCGAACTGTCTAACGGATGTTACTTTCCACGAATAGCTGACACCGATTAATCGGCCTTAGGATGGAATGAACGCAGAGCGCGATAGATACTGGAAGCAGAAACATAAGATTAACATGATTGATCAGTAGAACATATAAAAGAAATCTCAGTAAGCAAAGAAATATAGGGCAAGTACAGAAGATACCCTTTCATAACTGTTCGTTCATACAGTTGAATTGGACAACGTAAGCTTGGGCATCCACAAACGTATTACAGAGGGTTGAAGAAGCAAAAGGTAAGATTTGACTGTAACTACTTAATTTGAAGCACAGCAAACGAGTAAACTAGGCTGTGGTTAGAATGTCACGAGGCGTAGCCTCGCAACGCGACGCGACGCACCGCGCTCACTGGGCAATCAATAATCTGATGGCGACCTAGCAGAGAACAAGCGAGAGTAAGAGGAGACAGGGGAACAGCTACATACACAATCGAAAGTGGCCGAGAGAAGGAGAAATAAAAAGTGAGAAGTAGAGGAAAATAAGAGTTATGGCACATCTGATGAAAACATGATGGTCAAACAGGAGGGTGGAAGTCTGAGACGTTGATCAACTGTGTGCTTTCATGAACACGTTGAGTAATGATCCAAGTCGTCTTTTTTTTACGAAATTTCCACAGAATTCATGGTTACAGAACTAGTCTTGAACAGTCAAAGTGCGTAACTGTTGAAAAAAAGAAAAGAATTGAATAAAATTGAAAGAACGAGAGTTGTGTTGTGGCATCTACAGAATAGAAAAATATTAGAACATCTGGCGAAATAAACGAGTATTTCCTTTGCCAATCTTATCATATTACTAAACTGACATTTAGGGAACATTGGGCATCATTGTAAGACTTGTTCAAGTTTTAGAAAGGCCATATAATGCAGTTAGGCAATATTAAGTCATATAATATTAAATAAGGAAGATGAAGGACCATAAAAACTGATACTACAGGCTATCTCAGCAAGCATGTACTGAAAAGAACATAATGCGAGAAAAAAAAGGTGAACACGATTAAAGTCGATAACGAAGAGTAAACCGAACGATCTGGAAATCGCGTAGGGTAATAAATGAGATTGCGAAAGTGCAGTGGGAGTATTAGAAACGCCTGCCTGTATGTTCTCGTTTTTCGTCTTCTTCTTTTTCCCCGTTTTTCGACAAACAATAACAAAAGGGCATAGAAAAGTCTTCGTATGCTGAGTTTTGGACAGCTGAAGCGAAAATAATGTGGAAAAGTCAATATTGAAAAAGACACCCTTCCTATTATTAGCTAAGAGCGAGCTGAAATCATCAACACAAAAAACAGAAACTTTTAAAAGAACCAGAAATTGTTATCAAGATATTAGATTTACAGGGAATCTAATAAAAATGCTCCACAGATAAAGAATTAGAACGACATATCATTATCTCGCCAAAAAGCAACCGTATCACTCACGCCCACCTCCGAAAATGAAATTAAAATGATTGACATCAGCCGCTAATAGTTTCTAAAAGAGAAAAACAATTATTATCTCCCTTTTCCAATTAAGAATAGCTTCATCTATGAATTCTGGGGAAAATTTGAATAAAGAGCGAAGCAACAGAAGATATCTGTTTTTTATTCTTTATCATGTTCATATATAGATTTGAGAGAACGAAATTAATGATACAGCTGGGCAGTTTCATAGCAAAACTTGTTCAGTTTTACCACGAAAAAATTCAAATCGACCAGCTGTCACAATAACTTATGAAAGTTGGTAAGAAGACAGAAGAGAGTTCCAAATGTTCACACAATTCGACGAAAATATTTATTCAAACATAACTTTCTTGAAACTCTGTCAAACAATCAAGTGCTTTTGAATAGCACAAACAATCATAAGAATTTTTCTCCGAAAAAAAAATAACAACCTGATCAAAGTGAAACAGACAATGTGACTTTTGTAGAGAGCTAAAACATGATAAGACGCTCCTAAATAAGCACACGCTATGAATAGTCAGGCTTATGTTCACTTTTGAATTGACTTTTAAAAGCCACCATAAAACTTTCCATAGTTGTTAGTAATTGAGTATTCAGCCATTATTTTGTCAATATATCGATGGACTTCAGGATCATTCATTGTGGCTGCCTCAAGTAATCGTGGACACCTGAATTTCATGATTACTAATTTCAATTCCAATATTCAACAAACGAGAGTCTTCCGAATCGATCAAACAATGTGTGAGTCGACCATAAGCCCGCGCCATCAGTTCTGGGAAGAGGTAATTGTGAAGCAAATCGTGAATGAACAGCAACCGAGAAACACTCTTCACAATATTGTTCTGATGTATATTTCTGAAAAAAGGATGATTAATTTGATTTCTTAAAAGTGTAATCTAGCCTCTTGGAAGTAGGAAGCACATGAATCAGAATCACTGTCATGAAGCTCTGACTCATACCCAGAAGAAGAAGAAATCGGGGACATTGGTCTGAACATGTTTCATAAAGAATTTCATCATAAACGGCAATACCTTCGTTCTAAAAGTTGCTTTGTTACAGTTTTTAGTTTAGATGTTTCCTTCAATCTGAGTTCTTGTTTGACAGGACGGAGGCTCAAGGAAACCTTAAAAGTATTCTGAAAAATCCGGTTACGATATTTCAAAACGACGAAAGAACCTTCAATTTATCTTCGTCGTTTTTATCCATTTCTCTACAGAGACGAGGCTTTAACAATAGAATTTCTTTTGAGACTTTCTTTTCATTTGACTTGGGAGATCTACGAGCCAATTGCTGAATGTTATGAAGTATTTTAAGAATGTTATTGAGAGATGTATAAGAAAAAGCAAAAATATTTGAAGAAAACTCACAGATTTGGAAGTGAACTCGCTCATTCTTTCTAGTACAGTGAAGGTTATTTAGGTTTAAACAGTTCGAGAAAACGAATAAATTTGTTGAATAATTGAAAAATACTGTAAGCCCGCCCCTTTTTCCCATCACTACCAGGGAAAAACGGTTTTTTGTACTCACATAGATCATGTTGATCAGAGAGACGCCAGACACATCGTGGGTGGCATATGACCGGAACTGATGCTAATGTCTCAACTTGCGCTTTTGGCGCCGGATATTAAATGCTTAAAGATGACATCCTCCTAACCTCATTATATGATACCACATCAGTAACATAACTGAAAGTGATACTCATAACCATGAGTCAAATGCACCTCACTTAGCTTTCGAACGGTTCCAGCTGTGAACTGAGCATTCTCTCACTCGGGATAGTTATAACTACTCTCTTCGTTATCACATGTGATTTGTTGAAAACTGTGAAAATTCACTCTGACCGAATGAAAGCTGAGATCATGTGATGAAATGCTCTGTCGCAATTTGCCGACGGAGTAGAAGCTAACAGGCTTCGCCATCCAGATTCATCATCTGAAACAAGCTATGCATCAATATCATCAGCTGTCGTTATTGATGTCAGCAAAGAATTATCTAAAAAAAGCAACCGAAGCTCTGAAATTCTTTCAACACTGAATCGAATATGAGATAAGACATCGCCAACTTAGGAATACCAATTTTACTTTACTTGGTAACAACTCTCGAATCAGTTTTGTAAGAACTCGCTGCTCTTGCCTTGTGTAATTTGCTTAGGCTTTCCTTTGTTCCTTGGGTGGTCTCAAAATAGATCTCAATTCATTCAGATGTTTGGTGATGTGTTATCCGGCACAATATAATCAATTAATTTTATTTTTCCAGCAGTTCAATGTTATTATCTTCGCATTATTACCAGGGCCAGCAATCACCTGGGCAGGTTTGAGGATGTGTCTCAAACTTTCCTGTGTTAACTTCCATCAACACAGTATAGGCGGTGAGTTTGTTCAGGTTAGAACGGGAAGAGAGAACGTTGTAAATACCCTTGAATAGTAATGTCTTGGTAATTAAGAGGACACTCTCGAACCTGGAATCCAGCATTTTTCTGTGTCATTACTTGCATACAATGATCTCCAGGAGTTCGGCGGTCATCCAAGTAGAGAGGCTGAATAGGAAAGTTCTACTACTTCCGATTTAGGACTCACAATTTGGTTACGATCGTAGTTGGTTTCAAGTAAATACCATCCTGATACGGAATTTGTCTTATCCATACTGGTAATGAGGTCTGTGCCATTCAAACTACGAGCTATGATAGCACCCTGAATTTTATTAATTCAGTAACTATTTGAGAAAGGATTGAACTTCATAAGGCTTGGCACCCCCTAGAATGTAGTAAACTGGAGCAAGTAGGGCAGTAGTCTGGAGGAATTCTTTAGCTTCAGCATAACCTTTGATAAGAAAGAAAGTTATGAAAATCAATGTATTTATGCTTACTATTGCAGTTTTCGAGAGCTTCTCTGCTCAGCCAGGACATGAACTTACCCTCACCATAGTGGCCAGTAAAGAATCGGTAGAGTCCAACATATCCTTAATTTATCCATTAATTTCAAAGCTAAATATAGTTTTACCTCCTTCCTTAAGGAATCTGTCGTTAGCAGTGATGGTGAACTTTTTGGGTTTCAGACCGTTGTATACACCAACATATCCCGCAAAGTTGTTGGTTTTGAAAAGGATTTGTCCTGTACGCAATACATGTGAAAACTGAGTGGGGTATTGTTTTACCGTTCTTGATCCAATTGACGTTAATGATCATGTTTCTCAATTTCTGAGTGATAGGCCATTCATGGATTATTGGGTCCCATCCCATGAACAAACCAAAATCAAGGTTTCTGAATTTTGTAATATGTGATTAGACTTGTAAATTTATCAACCGGGCATGATAGAGGTTTCCACGCTCATCTTGAGCAACGATTGACGTACACGCAGTGAAAATTTCGTAGAAGATGTTGTACACTACAATTTGTCCCAATGGAACTTTAGTTGTGGTAGCAATCGACTGATAAATAGATGTTTTGAATTTCTGCTTATTTAATCTATACTTTAATCTCATCACGGTAAGGCTGAGGAATTCCATGAATAAGATCGGCTCCTAGCAAATCAACAATATCGAGAGCATCAGGGAAAATTGGAGTGATTAGATTGATAAGAACCTAAATAAGACATGTGAAAGCTTTCAACTTTTTTTTTGTTTTACTCCAATGAGTTCACCAATTTGTTTCTCATAATGCTTAGAAATCTCAACCCATCGTTCGCTGGGGGGTGCATCCAAGTCAAGATTGAACCTTAAGATTTGAATTATTATGATGTAATATATATTTGGTATTTTGAGAAGACATAACTTTCTAGTCTTCTTATGAATATATGATTGTATGTATTCTCTGATAGCAGATTTCTTTCATATAAGAAAAGCATGGAAAAAGATAACAAGTGAGCGCGACACGTGGCCCACGTGCATATGATTCCCTAATCGGCTTTCGATCGGAAAACGTCGGAGAGCAATACATTTTGGTAAAGTCAAATTGAAGTATTGAATAACGAACCAAGGAAATTGGAATTGGTTAGCTGCATTGTAACGGTTAGTTTTGTTCTGGAGAATACAGTAGTCCTCATATGGATGTGGCAAATCCACATGTAGAGCAACACCACCACTGATCGCAAGCAATAATAGGAAACACTCTCTCATATTTGAAACCTATTCAAAAATAGAAATAATCAAGTTTGGTAAAACAACTTAAAAGAACATAAGTCACATAAATGGCTATTCATACTAAACACAGATGTGAATCTAATGAAGTTTGAAGTGTCCCTCCCATAGGTATCTTGGTACCATACTATTGATAAGGAGATTAGGCATTGCTAGAATTTTGAAGCCTATTTTTTGAATTCTTTCTAATGCGTATTGGTCGGAAGAGAAAATACAATGAAATAACTAGACTACAGGATATGAATATCATTGAAATTCATTATCTTTCTCGTTTTCTGTGCTCTAAGTCATGGTGTCTTCTTTTGTCACGATTCCTCTGCTTCAAAGTAGTGTTCATCTCTTATCTTCGGAAGTATGAATGGAAACTCAATTTCAAAATTAGGTTTATAAAAAAAAGAAAATTTTCTAACCTCCTCAGGAGAAAATGGAACTCATTAGCATAATATGTAAATTACACTGTTCTCATTAGCATACGTGAGATCAGGTGAGACTTTATTTCTGAAAAGCAATACAGACAGGCGGTTGCATATTATTTAAGATTCAAATGCTCAGACAATTAAACAAGACAGTACGCCTTTCATATTTTTCCTAAGGAATAATATTCGGTGATATCGTACTGATTTTGATATACGATAAGTTGGCCCTCCATAATGGGCGCCAAGTAGGTACGCAATAGGTTTAAAAAAAAGCTCACTGCGAAGAGTTTCTTTTCTTAGTGACAACCTTCAATTTTTTTTGTTGTTGCTTATAGATGTGCTTCAATAGTATTTCGCTGCTGTCTATTCTTTAGAAAATCAAGTTTTGTTTTCAGTGAAGGAGAGTACCAGATGTTAGACATGTTGTCATCTAGTGCCAACTTTCCGTGTCACATTAGATTTTGAATTAAAATTGGTAAAAAAAATAATAAGGCTTTATTATTTTGAATCATTCAAAGTGCGTTTGGATAGCTTGATGCGCTCTATGAAATCCATGAAACTTTTTCGGGCTTGTCACTTTCCCCCTCTTTTGAAGATAATCCAAATAGTGACTAGAATTGTCGCGTGCCCGCCATCACCTAAATAGATCTTATCTCTTCAACTTGAGCGTTTTCGTATCTCCTAGGCCAACAAGCTAGTGTGACGGTTTTATACACACTGTTATTGTCTACATGTTAGTGTATCGCATAATGTTATCGTATTGTGAAATATTTCAAACCATATTTTTTTATCGTAGGATACGGCAAGCTTCCGGAGGCCAGCAATCCATTCAATTAGGGGATTCCTATACAAGTACGTTTTTTTTCTTCTAGGACTTTGCGCGGACTGTTTTATTCTATTTGGAGTTTGACTCTTTTTTCTTCATATCTGCTAAACAGTACCAGCTGTTGAGACATACTGTAAATGAAGTCTTTCTTACTCATTTCCTATTCATTCATATGCAGCGATGTTCCCGGTTTTCAATCCTTGTATTGTTATAGAATTCGCTTCTTTGATTTAATTTTTTCGTCAAGAACTATTAGCTCTGAGTTCTTCTGATGTTTTCATATAAGCGATGGTTTCCGTTAAAGTTTATCGTTAATTGTGAAACCATCTTACTGAATTAGAGCGCAGCTGGCGCCTTGGTTTTTCATGATATTCTCGATTCTAAAAAGCTGATCACTATTCATCGTACTGTATGATGAATATTGTGGATGAAATTTAGCAAATTCATCATCTACAGTATTGTTTTTCCAGCGCTTTTTTTGTGTTTTCGAATATAAATATTAAGCAATAGGGATGGTCCCATGAAGACACAGCAGATCACTGGGATGCTGAAAGCCTCTAGTTCCCTGTGTGAAGGAATATAAAAGCGGACACATCTGGCACAAATGTGCTCATCCACTTTATCTGAATCTCTATATCCTCCCTATGTGCTTAACTATTTCAATACTTTCATTATATGTGACAGGAGAGATTCTTCTCACGTCAGTTTCAGAACACTTCTTTATTTCTAATCATCAACGAAAATACTTTTGCCTAATTCTAGTTTAAAGTTTTCTATTAGCTTCTGTCGAAATCTAAGATTTCGTTTCGTTACAAGAGAGCAACACTTTATCATTTATCCATTCTTTTTTGCGCTTCTGTTTCGGTTCTCAGTGATTATCCATAGATGATTGATATTGTTAGGTCTTTATGGATGCTTCAACAGTTTTGTTTTGTTGTCCTAAAAGTTGTATACTCGATACTAACAATTGTTTTACTGCTCTTTCAATGGAGATCCTTCAGTTGTTGCCGCTGAAAATCTTGGCAGGTTTAAAACTACAGTATGCTCAAATTTAATTAATCGCATCTCTTATTATAATAACATAGAAACCACTAAAGAGAATAGATAGATGTGCCCTATATCATTCTGTTTCCGCGCTTTGAATGACAATAGCTTCAACTAATATAATTTTTATCAGAACTGATTTGAAGTGTTGTCTGCGTTTATAGTAACTATTGCCACCACTGTTGTTTTGACTTCCGAAGGAAAACATAATGCACCTGCTTTCGTAAGATACAGATATGGTTTGCTGCGAAATAATTTAAGATTCATCTCTAAGACGAAATTTTGAATTCAGAATTCCGTATATGATTTGAGCTGCTAGCGAATTTTTAATGTTATGGTTGTAGTTCTCCACCAAAGCGGCTTTGGCTAAGATAAATACGAGCAGTAATAAAGTCAGTCTTGAAGAATAGTACGTTAAAGTCTCAAATCATTCTCATGAATGAAGATGTTGAGATATAGCAGCAGCATGTCTATACTCCCATTGTGTCGAGCGCATTATTTCGTTATAATGCTTAATTATGTTGCTTGAAGGAGACCTCCTGCAGACTGTGTTCTTCCTCCTGTCTTCTTAGTCAAATTATGATGTATGAAGCATGAGTGTTCATCAACGCATTAGGATTCTAATTGGTGTAAAAAAAATATTATTTTCGGTTTGTTCCTATTTTCAATATACCCTGCCCTGCTCATCCTAACCATCAACACATATTAGGACCCAGCACATCGTTGACGTCGTGGCATAGCAGTTTGTTCAGCTGCTAATTGTCTAACTTTCTCTCGCTTTTCGTACTATATCTTGATATCACGTCGTGCTACCATACATAGATTATGAATTTGTACATAGCTCTCGATCTCTTTCTCCTAATTCTGAATGACTCTGAAATTCTTTCTCTTTCTAGAAATGGGAAGCCTCGTACAGTTTTCTCTTGCTATACAACATTTACAAATGGTTGCTTCCTTTCGATGATTTCCTTGCCGTTTCCATTGTTCGAAGTTTCCATATAACTGTTGAATATGAGTTCTGTGTCTTTCTACATAGTAAAACTCAGAAATTGATTAAGCTTATCATGACAACTTCTCATTAGATATGAATAGTCAATACTTCACATAAAACCTATGTCTCATTCGCTAGAAATTTTGATTGTTTCGTCTCACAGCGAGTTACATGCACTCTAGTAGAATATTATGTTTCGGCAGTCTAAGGCGATGATTGATTAAAATTGTCCCTTTTTCCATGTGTTGCTCTAGAATCACATCTATTTATTTTAAAAAATATTCCATGCGATCCATTACGCTTAACTTTATTGTATGTGGGGGAGTATACATAGTTGTACGTGGCCTTTTGACCGTCGGCTGGGAGCCTCTTCCTTTGGTTGAATGACGCAACATCTGCCATCTGGATAGCTCAAGAAAGTGACGATGGTTAGAAGAAAACGTAGGGAATCGATTGATAGATTAGTGTAAATGTCAAGCTCTCCATATATAAACACCACATTTGCATATTACTTGTGTTAGAGGCTGCTCCTTGAACTTCTTTAGTATTTTAGCTATAAACTATAAACAAGCACCTAGCACTACAGTTTGTTATGATTGACCCACCATCGACCTGTGTTTCTCTTCGGTTCTCAAAATAAACTTCCACATAAGTATTACGCGGTTAATTGCCGAGAAAGATTTCTTCTTTAGCTTTTCAACCAAAGTAAAACCTTTTACCAATTGATTTCTCTGTCAGTGACTATGTTCTCGGCTCCATCTGGTCAACCGGTTTCTGGCAGGATTATCTGTATAGCTGTGTGTCTCCTCATTCAGCACTGTAGGCTCAGTAAGGTCGTTGCTTCGAATTTGAGGAATGGCTTGCAATAGGCGATTTTGTTTTTTCTTAGTAGCTCTGAATGTTGTCGAATACTACGGTATTCTGTCATATGCAGACATCTAGTGCATCGATCCAAAATTAACAAATTTCGAAGCATAATTGCAGCATGTAATCTTAAACTCTAATGGATACAAATGCGTTTAATTTGCTCTGGTATCTTTACCGTAATTCAAACTACTTTGTTTTTCACGTCTGTAGCTATTTTGAACATATGAACGCTTCCAATTTTTAGTTGTTGTTTTAATTCCATATATAGTTCGGATTTTTTGCTTTCTCTCCCAATTAAGTTGCTATCTAGCTTCTCTTGACAGTTCTTGGGAATCAGGGATTCATAGGAGAGAGGAGGTCATTGAGGCGTGGCCAAGCTTATACACGCCCATTGGCTCGCCTAAAATGAGAATACTGCCTGATCGTACATTTTTTTTCCGAATTTGTTCTATTCTGAGCGAGTACTTTTTAATTTTTTTTTAGTTGATATGATGTGCTAATCATTAACCTTATTAATGATTGGAAGCTTCGCTTTTATTGTGAATAGATCGTTCAGCCTTTTTCCTTCGCAAATGATATAAGATCGCGTAGATTATTTATTTTTGATCAAAGAATCTCGGAAACAATTTTTTTCATAGATAAAAACATTTATTTTCATATTATTTTGGCGGGTTCATGTTTAAACTGATTCTGAATTACATTATTGATGCGGCCCGCCATTTGCGCGAACAACATACTGTATTTAGTGACTGATAGTGATAATTTCTTTGTTTGTAAAGATCATGCTGTAGACAATTGGAGAGAAGAAATGGTTTTGACGTCACATAAGAGAGTATCGTAGCCGGACACATTGAAGAGTGATCGCTCAAATAGCTCTTTGTCTTACTGTCCATTGACGTCCATTTTCTACCCTCACCCCTTTCTCTACCTACTGCCCTAACTGTTGGTGACCACCATTTCCTTTACCATCAATCAATCTACCATGTCTATGCACTCTACCTAATCTTATTGTTTTTTTGGATTCTATTTCCCATCTATTTGAGATTAAATGCGTTTTTTTAGTTTTTTGGCCGCGACTGCTCTTAATTTACTTGAAATCTTTACATTTACTATTCCTTTGACATTTTTTGAGCTAGACAGTTTGAATCTTGAATATGTTATGTGCCGTAAAAGATCATTCAGGCGACCCTCTTACAACAGCTCATTAAACATTTTGATTCAATGAGCACTGTATTGGTTTCTTCGCGCCTTTTTTTCGAATTACCAGCTCCTTAAGTAAATATTTTATGTCATTATGGAAGTCACACTCTGAATTTTTCTGCTTCATATTCTCCTCTTATTTTGTGCCTAGTCGGTGTAGTCTTTAATTATCTCTGAAATGCTAATTACGGTCTTCTGCTGTCCTTCCCTAAATCGTTTTTTTTTCTTGTGTAAAAACTGAACCGATCATTTAAGACTATAAAAGAGCTCGAAACCAAGTTCAGAATAGCTTACTTGAAAAGGTTACCGACGTGAAACTTATACAGTATTCTTAAGCGATTAAGAGTGCCTGTCGGCAAGAGCAAAATGATGTTATATGCGACCTCTATTGACACCCATAGTACCATCATATTCTAAGTATTTTATCTAATGTTCAAGAGGTACTCAGGCTTCAGATCAGTGTCCATGCCGCCTTTCTCGTAGCATCCTTCGAGTCTTATGTGCTAATTCATATTCTCACTCCTCTCATCTCGTTTTTCCTTTATTTTTTTGTTCCGTTTCCATACAGCAATGTTTTCAGATTGTAGTAGATCAAAGCAGGTGATGTCAGCTCAATACCCCGATTATTCCACTTACGTAGATCCTCTTGCTGTTGGAGCAGGAGGGGATATTTCTGCTACAAATTATTGGGGTTGGTTTTTTTGAGTTTGATACCATATTCAACTGTTTTATCTCAGCAAATCCTTATCCACCATTGGGATATCAATCCTCTTTATTGCCGATCTCCAATGCTGGTGATGTTAGCAGTTCAACTCAAGCTAATACTGATTATGGATCGTCAGCTACTGTATCTGGGTATCCTTCTGCGGGAATACCGCCTGTCTCGGCAACAGTTTCTTCAGCTACCTCAGTTGCCCAGTCAGCTGATGTTCTTGAATTGGGAAAAGTTGGAAAACATAATGATATCTTTCTAAATTTTTAATTTTTCAGTTGCCAACAGCTTATTCTACGCCATCTACTGCACCAAATGATCCCTTGTCAGCTATGTATTCACCTTGGGGTTATTCTTACATGGTCAGTTAATTGAGTTGTTTGATCGAGAATGATAATCCATGTCATACAAGTGATTTTGTTGTCTTTTGATCTGTATTGCGATTACTTAATCTGTCGGCTAGAAGATGATGATGTCATGAACTACCTTGGGATCAGTACATAAACCGTACATATCCCTGTTTGAACATATCCGAACACTAACGTGTTCTTTTTGATCCTACCGCCTATCTTATGGGTATTACTTGCGTAAAAAAAGATTTTATCTTCATGTTTCAAAATTATTTCATGGCTATTCAAAGAATTGAGATTTTGATGTTCTTGTAATATATACAATTATTTTCAGCCACCCCCACCGGGAGACGATAAAACGGGTTTAACTACTTCAGCTACTGCTCCTTACCCCGGAATTCTTGGTTACTCTGGCTTTGGTCAAGCAGCTGATGCAAATGAATTGGCTTTAGGGCCTCCGTTTTATCCTCAACAGCCTCAGGTATGTACAGTTTTCTTGCGAATGGGGTGCAATAATTTGAAAGACTATTTGAATTTGAACTAGCCTTATAACTGTCCTTCTGTCGCTTTCATCATACTTCGTTGAAGCTAGTGTTGCACGGCATGGTGCTTCCAAGGACGTTCTTTCTTTAGTGTCTTCGCATGTCCTCTGCTTCTTTTCCAAAGGGTTTAAGAATAAGTTTCCAATCAGTTTGGATGTTTCAAAGAAAGTGTCCATCCAATCACCTTTTTGCTAACAGGGGATTATGATTTACAATCGTCTTAAGGCTTTCATCCTTAGTGGCTTGAGCTATCTGCGCTCTCTTTTCTTTGCATAGCACTAAGAGCGGCTTTTTTGTTCATCGACCTCGAGTAGTCTCCAACGGCGAATATGAAGTTGTCTAATGAGGATACAGCTCTGCCCCATGCTTAAATAGTCGGTATATCTCTTTGATCAACCGAAGCAAGGTCATAATATTGCCTTAAGCGCGATAATCACAAAGACAAACTTCTATACAATCTCGAGGTTTTTTTCCGATGAGCGAGCACATGTAAAATCTTTATTTATGAAAATACGAGCCGTTCTTTGGTAAAATTAATGTTACAAATGACTAGGAAGCTACAGCTTCAATGAGTTGGAGTGGAGTGAGTCTTATTCCTTCGAAACTCTGTAGACTACATAGTTGAGAAGTAATGGTTTGATCAGGACTAGAACAACTTTGGGAGGTTTTACAAATTGAGCAATCTTCGCATGCACATTCCGAGCTCTGAAATACGTTATTATATCTTGAGAATGTGCCTTGTTTTTCTTACATTCTCGAGCCATTGACTTGGAGGTAAAGGCACTTGTTGAGGAACTGGTGAGTCTGTGAAACTGGGCCCAGCGTAGAAGTTTGTAATAGAGTTTACGCCTTGATTTTGATAGACAAATGACTTTGTTTTCAAAGGATAGATTGGTTTTTTGTCAATCCAGCTAAACGGAAGCTTTGTTAATCTATCCGGGCATACAGTCTTACCTTCTCTTGAGACGTTGTGTCCGACTTTGTTTTGTGACAGAAAAGTTCATTGTTTGGCTAATATTAGTAGTCGACATTTTTTTGAGCTATGTGTAGATTATAAACTATTAAATATACTCTGAAACAAAGAAGTTGAGTATAAGAAAAGAATAATGGAGCACATTCTGATGACACGATCTAATATATATTTATAATATGTATACAGTTGGGTCAGAGAGATTGAATTAGCAGATACTTCTTTGGCACTCTGAGATGTTGGTTAGGGGGTCGGAAGGGATTAGATAAGATATAGAATGGCTTATGAAGAACAAATTGGGTGTCAGTTTTAGAGGGATAGGAACTGTAGGGTGCGAATGCAATTTAGATAAATGAAAATGAGAGTAAATCCCCACGTTGTTCACGTAAACTTCGTGTTCAGGCTGTTGACGTGGGGGAATGTTCGGAAGTCTTTAGAGATATGCTAATACGAAGCGCTCCTTTCATGTTTTGAACAAATTCAGCGTTATGTGAACAAAGACTTGCTCGGCACTTCTTTCATTTTGATTAAAATCACATAGGTGACATGTTCTTTTTGTTTTCCGATTGCTCGCCTGAACATTTTTGATTGTGTGGATTGTGAGGTCAAACGTAAAATGTTTAACCTATTCCAATAATTTTCTTCTTATTGTTGTTTTTTCTACCGTACTCGCCGATTATAATAATTGGTAATACGGGGTGTGGGAGAAAAACATTGTTTCCGGCAGTATTCCAGAGTTGTAACATCCAACCACTAGTTTTTGAATGCGCTAATGCCAAGATATCTTCTCTTCATAGAGAAGAATATCGTTTTTTATATGTACATATATGCATATAGAATTGTTAAAAGAACATAGAATGAAATAATGCGAAGTGGAGGTTGAGGTCGGTTGACCATCTGCCACCTCTGTATGGCTCGACCCAAACCGTAGTTTTCATGCATTCTATTGTAAATCTAGACGACCTCGTTTTGGGGGACCTTACAAAAATGTATGATGTATCTAGAAAAAAGAAAGCTTTACAAAATGGAAAAGTATACAAAGATTGAATCTATCTATTTTCAGGTTGCTTCAGCTCTTGCGGAATCTGGTGCTGGCGCCAATTCTGCTCCCCCTACTGACGCTTCTGTCTACGCTCCTTCACATTGCCTATCTTCCTCTCAACATTCACCATTTGATTATAATGGTCTTCATGGTAGCGGAGCATCTACTGCTGGTCTTTCGTAAGTATTCTGCTGTTAACGTCATGTATATTTATTCATCTCAGTGCTTCAATGCCCATACGTCCTGGTTCTTCAAAAAGAAAGTCGAAAGGCATGCGTGGAGATTCTGATGATGAAGGAAGATCTTGTGATGAAAAAGATGTCGATAGAAGATCAGCTAACAATGCTAGAGAAAGGTAATTAGTTTTTCTTTCATCGGATTCTCAGTTAGTAGAAAGTAGCACCTAGTTGTGAGTGGAGATGAGGCAATAATCTGTTAAATCCCATTAAGAATATATCGAATGAGAGATGAGTTTAGTTAGGTTATGTACATATCGAGCACATGGCTTAATATGATGAGGGTTATTGTTTGTACTCAAGCTAATCCATCATGTACTTGTTTGACCACTGTGTTGAATACTCCTCTTGTGATTGCGAGTATAGTATGGCAATGTCCTAGGTAGTAGATATTTAAATATTGCTCAGTCCATTAGCTTAGCAAGGTCAGCCATCTAATCTAATTCACAGTTTAAAATTGCATAAGTGGCAAATAATGGCTGGTTTTATACAATTATAACTCAAGTATGACCGAAGCACTATACAACCTATTAGCTAATCTTAACCATCCATCACACCCAACATATGTGTTTTATCTTTTATGATTGTTTTTCCTCAGCTGATCTTATCCAACATTTGCGTCAGCTTACTTTCTTAGCTGACAGGATTATGAAGGGATTAATAGCTTTTATATAGTAGTTGTGTGACCCCTGTCGTTTTTTTTGACAATCATGAGAACATTTTTCTTTCAGAGTTCGCGTTCGTGACATAAACTCCGCATTCAAGGAATTGGGTCGAATGTGTGGTCAGCATATGCCGGGAAATCAAGAGAAGGCTCAAACTAAGCTGGGAATTTTACATCAAGCAGTACAAATAATTACTACTTTGGAGGAGCAAGTATGAAAAAAAGATATGATTCTCAAAGTGTATATCTAATAGTTTCAGGTTCGTCACCGGAATTTGAATCCCAAAGCAGCTTGTCTTAAACGGAGAAGCGATGAAGATGTAAAATTGCAACCTCAGTAAGTATAGTGTTGTATTTGAAGGTCCTTAGTTTTTTCTTTTCAGAGTCATAGGTGACACGAAACCCCTCATTGATCAGCCTTTCCAAGCTCAGAACATGAACACCTTTCACTAAACCACAAGCGAGTATTTAAGCTGTGTTAACTAAAATTACACTATAAAATTAAAAGTAGACATTTGTCATCAAATGACTACGTACAGAACTTCTAATTTAATCAGTACTAATGATTACTTTTGCTCACTGTATATTCTGTCGTCCACCAATGTTTTACGTTGTCCATCCAGTTGTTCTTGCTCCAAAGTTCCGTAGTTCTCATGAAAATTTTACCTAATTATTAATTATTATCTGTTTATATTTCATACTCCTTTCATTATTCGGCAAATGATTGTCATTAACAACCGTAATCAGATTATTATCTTAAAAAATAATAAAATTTAAAAACTTTTAACATCCCTACATGTATTTCAAACATTGTTTCTCTGTTCTCTTGCCCTTCCTCTGTTTTGAGCAAATGTGCTTCCCTAATTTGATATTTGCTGTGATTTTAAGATGAGATCTTGCTACCAAGGGCAAGAGAAGACTCGATCATCATTTACCCATTTCATAAATTCATAGTTTGCATAATCTTACATTGATGTAACTGTATCATTATCCTTTGGTTATTGATGATTATTCTTCCAGTTCGGGGAAATTCATTGTAAAGCTTAAGAATAAATGTATATTTATAATGTTAAATTCATTATACTCCAAATATTATACAACGGTTAACTTCCGAACGTCGAGTGTAACTCAAATTTCTTTGTTCAGGAAACCAAATTGATTAAACTTCTTTTTCTTCGATTTCTTCTTTTCGTACTCATCGTACAGAACTTTTCGAACTATTTCCAGTGCTCCCGGGTGTTGAAGAATACCCATGTGCTCTGCGTTTGCAATCTCATGTAGCTTTACATCTTTGCCATTGTTGTTTCCTTTATTCCAACGTTGACAAGCCTCCGCACTTACTCTATTAACTGTGAGAAAATCCTATTATAAAACAATAAACTTTCGTGTTCTACCTGTGCCATCTCCATCACCATAAGTGATTGTTGGTTGATAATCAGGGAACCACCAGTTTCCCCAAGAAAATTGTTCTGGTGTGGCTAATCCAGTTCCGTACACACAATGAACCTGAAAATCTTTCTTGAATAGAATTATGTGTCGCAATACACTACCTCTACTCCAGGAGGCTTTAAGTCAGCGTTGAGCAGAGCAGCAGCTTTATACTGTTCGTAACCAGTTTCGTATTTTATATCGGTGAAGAACTCTTCGACGTTTTCGAGCTAAATTGTGAGTTGATATGTGCAACATGCTTTCCACTAACTGTATAGTTTTTACTATCTGTCTTAGCAATAATGGTTGTCTTGTTGAACACATTTGCATTTGGAAACAAGAAAGCTGACGATGAGAATGATCTGAAATAAAAAATCATATCGGCACAGCATCTCGGAACACAACCGTTTCCCGCAGAATGAAAACCAAAGTGAATACGGCCCCCACAACTGACCTTTGCATTTGACGTAGTTTGTTTGGTGAAAGCAGTATGCGATAATAGTTCATGTTGTAACCAGAAGCATAGAGTTTAACAATTTGCATTGAACCTCCCCATGGGCCAGCTAAACCAACGTGACTCTTGATATACTTATCTTTCCAGTCCTTCAGTGTGTGTTAAAAATGAAAACAGGAGTGAGGAATACCTGTGTAACATAATTATTATAGAAATACAACATTGTAGGATTTCCCATACTGTGCGCTACGATGACAACCTACAATAGAATTTGATCATTACCGTTGAGTTTCATTTGAAAACCTTTTTATTATCATTAAGTTTGTAGACGTTTTCAATCAGCTCTTTAAGTTTGACCAAATAGTCGTTCAATTCATCTGGAAAAAAGTAAGATTCTTTCTGATTAGAGGCAGTTAACCAACTTGGTGAACGTCGCCAATCGTAGGGAGCGCCAGCCACGTTTTTTCCTCGGCGGTAACCCCAAGACGTCATCATATCCACCATATTGAAAAAATACAGCCCTGAGCTAGCCTTGAATATCTCATCCGTTTAAGCTGTGTCTTTAAGATATCATACTTTGCTTTTGTCAAGCCATTCTATAGTTTCCGTTTGGCCAAAACCAGGCACTCTAACATCGACTCCTGGCATATCCATGGACAAACTAGACGTTGTGTTGAACACCAATCTTAAGAAAACAATAACCCCGTAGGACAGAAAGAACAAACTGCATGTTGTCCAACCAACAATCAATGACCACTGGTGTGAAAAGCTGTAAATTAAGCCAAAGGTCCCACCAGTCGCTGGTCTGCTTGGCACAAAGATAGTGAACTACTGAAGGCTTACCCGTTAAATTAGCTTCGAGCTGGCTACCACCATCTCCTGGGACTGCAAAAAATTGATATATTGGGTTGTATAATTTTATACCTAATATTACGGGATATCCTGGTTCTTTGGTCTTGCTTTTTCTGACGTATGGAGCATTGGTTGAAACATTTGTGAACAATACAAAGATTACGGCTACAGACAAGAAAAACCGGAATATCCTCAGCTTCATTTACTGTACTTGATCTTCTGGAAAAAACAGAGATACTTCAAATTATGAAAGTAAACAAGTTCATAAGAAGCTAAAAGACGAAATTCGAACGCTGCTCATTTTGGCAAAGTCATATGGATAAATGACCAGCAGGTTTTCTGATCATTGTCTTATCTCCATGAAGTGTTAGATCAATAATAACAGTTGTTTCTTATCAAGTCTTATCAAATGTTCAAACAATCAGAAAACAACTGTGGGTCAATATTTCACTAATGAAATTGATGACTCTACCGGAAAAAATGAGAAACTTCAGAGAAATCCTTCTTCTTAAAAAATGAAGATATTGCCATCCTTATAAACAGTAGGAACAAGTTTGATAAGATAGCGCGAACGGTGGAACAATATGCCGAAAATTCAAATTTTGGCCGCCTCAAAGCCAACGTACTTCTCGGATCGCTAGAAATGTCAGACACATAATGATATAGATGACAATAGAGCAATGTTATAAGGAAAATCTTTGAAAGTAGGCATGAGTTGAAATATCTATCTTATTTGAATCTGACGAAGAAAAACTTCGTCCTCAGAATATACAAGTAGCCTTAACACTGCTCATTCGAACACGATTAGAGATTGGAACACTTAGAGCAAAATTCATTCTCTCATAATGCATTTTCTGCTTTTTCTATGAATTTCATTATCTATGCCTCCTTGAAGAGATAAATTATCTTTTTTGATACGCAGAGATGCGTCGTTTTCAACAATGGCAGATGAAATTCAAATTTGGTAGCTACAAGCTAGTAGAAGGATATTGTTTGTGATTATCATTTGAAACTATCATAGCTCGGATTTTTAGAATCTTCCTATGTTTCTCATTTACCTAGCGTAACCTATACGCAATCAAAGTTAGTTTCGTTATTATCCCACATATTCTAATTTTCGTCTGCTTTCATATTTTCTATTTGTCGTGAAAATGTGGTCGTTTATATATTTGTGTCGTAACTCTATAATTCTGGAATTTAGGTTCACGATATAGAGTTGTATGCTTTCTTCTCGAAAAGTTTTAAATTTGTTCAAGAAGGACCTCTTCGCAAATGTACGATTGTAGTTTGATAATTTTATGACTAGTTAGTACTCAGGTTCGAAATGCATCTTCTAAAAAAGGACTGAGGAAACCAAAAAGAGCTATTGCCCTGCCACCACAATATCTCACTCAATTGAAATTGTGGCCCGAACTTCTACAAGAAGAAATAAACTATGCGGATCAAAAGGTTTTTGTCGTTGAAGGATACTTTTTATCACTCTGTTAGATAGCAGAGAAACTGGATGAGTCTACGAAAGGGATGGAACAGCTAGGAGAAAGAGGCCTCATGCTATCCTTCTTGAAATATAGTCATATTAACAATTGTCCAGTTAAAGGAAAAATAACAGTGTTTCAACACCAGGAGAAGTCTTATACACTGCCCAAATTCCGAATAGGTTTCCTTCTTGAGCGGTATTTTAATATCAAGTTTTTCTAGGAACTCCGGTGATGTTATGCCCACTCGGAAAGAGTGAGAAAGTGGCCGAAGGCATCATGATGACTTTGAACTCTCAAGAACTGCAAGTATCTTTCAAATCGGAAGCTTTCACTAATAACTTTTTCAGGTAAAATTCACCAAAAAGTTTGCGGACTTCCAACCTCATGCAAAATATTGTTTATTTCCTTCGAATCATACTGGAAGCTCACATTCACTGAAGAATTATATCAAGTGGGTTCACAAGCCACATTTCCATTAAGTCTTCTCGTCTTTCAGAAATGATTTTTCAGAAAGTTTTCATAAATCAGACTTGTTCTTGTACTCTTGCCGTGGTTTACCAATGCCTTCAATACATAATGGTGATACAATATCTTCTTTTCTTACCATTACTTTCAATAGACAAGGTTCACCCAAACATAGATACAACTCTGGATCAAAGTCAGAGACGAGCTGTCGCTGCTGCTTTAAACAATAAAAGACCATTCGTTTGTATAAGAGTAAGTGCATCGACTACTCATAACTTATTCTGATCTTCAGGGTCCTCCTGGAACAGGTAAAACTCGAGTGATTGCAGAAATAGTTAGGTTATTAACTCAGAAGCGACAGAAAGTCTTAGTTTGCGCTCCAACTCATGTTGCTGTGCAAAATGCCATTGATAAAACCATGAGTGTTATGAACATTGATGAAACGGAAGAGGATGAGGCAGGTATAGTGAGTTTGCAATATCAGATTTTATCAGAGCTTTTTAGTTGAACGTATCGAAGAAATAACCAACGCGTTGTCCCATCATGATGAGTACTTTGAATTGGAAAACATTATGGAAGAAATAGTACTTTTCTCTAAACGTTCACTTTATTCCACACAAATTTTAATAGGTGGAAGCAAAGAAACAGGGTTACAGCGACGTCTATCAGCAGCTACAGAAAAAAGCAGCGAGACTCAAGCGGAAAATTTTATCAGTGATTTGCTTGTTCTTGTTTTCTTTCTATTCTTTAATTCAGGAGCTACATACGAAGAGAGATGTTATTTTTTCCACGATCGGCTCTTCAGCTATTTATATGTTAGAGAACTATACATGGCATCCAGATGTAGTGATCATAGGTAGTATTTCTAAAGAATAACTATCATTGTGGATGTTAAGATGAGGCAGGTCAATGTACTGAACCGTCGGTCTTGCCTGCTATCTCGAGAGCTCGTAGATGTGTTTTAGTCGGAGATGAAATGCAACTTCCTCCCGTTGTTCTTTCACCAAAGTATGATTAACTTGAAAAAACTATTATTCATCATTTCATTTTAGAGCGAAGGATGCAAAACTGCATGTGTCACTGCTCGAGAGATTAGTTAATGAATTTCCAAATAATAACATTGTTTTTCAACTGAATGTGCAATACCGGTAATTGTTAAGTGAATTTCTTTATATGAATATAGTCAGAATGAACAAAGAAATAATGAGATGGTCCTCGAATCAGTTTTATAATTCGACCCTGGTAGCAGCTGAAAATGTTTCTGAGATTAGTGTCAAGTAGGTGAACTTGTATATGAAGCCAGGATCTCCCGAATAATTCAGAGATATATCCAATATATCAGAGGATCATCCAGCTATCAAACCTTTTCTACTGATAAATACAGATTCATTCAGAGAGCCTAAATACAATGAGAGAAGAGCATTCGATTCATATGAGAACTCAGGTTTGAATATAATATTAGACGAATTTTCATAAACAAAAATATAACAGGCGAAGCTGGCTTGGTAACCATGTACGTTAAATTTCTTCTAAATCAAGGGATAGATTCCAGCAGGATTGGAGTAATCACGCCGTATTTTGGCCAAGTAATTATACTTATCTTACGTTTATCTTAAGTACAATCTAGGCACGAGTGATTAAACGTATGTTAGACTTATCAGAAAACCTATTAGTTTCCTCCGTGGATGCTTTTCAAGGTAATGAGAAGGATGTAATAATATTTAGTTTGGTGAGAAATAATAGGAAGAGTAGGTTCACCTCTTATAAATAGTTTCGATCTTCTCCCCTTTAGATCAGATTGGATTCTTGAGAGATTACCGGAGATTAAATGTCGCTATCACACGAGCCAAACGGCAATTTGTACTCATTGGAAGCGCTGAGATGTTGCAAAGCGACAAAATGATGAAATCTCTATTTCAGTGAGTTTAATTTTATATTGTCCCCGTTATTCGTATCTCTTTCAGGGATTTCAAACAACATGGAGAAATCTTGGGTTCAACGTTCGTGAACAACTACTTATAGTCATTGTTATATATTACCTTGTTGAAAATGTAATTAAAGTTACGAAATTTTTTTCTTTCCCTATAGCTTAGTATAGTTTACAACTATTTCATTATATGCACACAGTTTCTCAACGTTTTTAATATTTTTAATTTTCGCGCCAAAGTCATCGATTGCCGCTCGCGCCGCAGCGCACTCTTGCATGTCACATTGTTCTGGTTAGTTTCGAGTTAACATGGCTTATTTTGCTATTTACTATTTGATTTCTTTTTTAATCATAGTTTTTAGGTTTTTTATTAATTATTGAATTATGCCCGAGCTTCCTCCGACTGCAGTAATTATCCGTCTTCAATTCTTGCCACTGTCAGCGAACTCAGCTGATGTTCGTGCCTTCTTTCACGGGTTGAAAATTCCTGAAGGAGGTGTACATATCATTGGTGGAGAAAACGGGGATGTTTTTGTTGGTTTTGCATCTGATGAGGATGCTAGGCAAGCAATGCGACGTGATCGGGGATCGATTCACGGGCAAGAGGTTTGTTTTATTTCTTAGTATTAATACTTGGTGGGAAAATGAGGCGTATGCCATTTATAATTCTGAAATCCAACATTAGGTTTAGTTAAACACAAATTGTCTAGCGCCGTTATATTATATTCATCTATATTCTGCTAAGCTATTTCCGTTACCGAGGATTGCTACTGAAGGACTGCCACCCAACGTTGTGGTCTACTCTGAGCTATTCAAGAAGTGCCTCATGAACATAATTTCTTCTCTAAATATCTTGCAATGCCTCTCATTCTAATCTTTTATCACTTTGTGGGCTTGACAACATCAGTGGCTACTGTTGTTTGGAGAAAAAAGTGAAAAGGGACATGAAAGCTGTCATTAATACTGTTAGAGAAGATATGATGATTATGAAAATCCTGGTGTTGTTTCTGAATTTTCGTATGTCTGCTCTGCTGCCTAATAGAGGAATTGAAAACTGTATAAGCCTTTTTTTCGAAGTTCCTAGTCATGGCTTTCTTATCTTGAACTCTATGTGCTGAATGAAAAACACAATATCTCTGAGCGAGTTTTATTGATACTGGGATTTGTGATATCTGAAGTTAGTCATGAAATGATCAAACAGCTTCCTAAGTATATGACAAACTTCATAATCTGAACATTTTGATAGTTTTTGTTAGAAAAGGGGAAAGATTATCATACTCTATCAATCAGACAATTATTATTCAGAAAAGGTATCCCTTGAGCAGATAGAGGGTTGATGGAAGCACACCTAGCTTAATTCTGATTATAGTTTTAATTGCAATATCTTTCAATACTGATCGCTGTTATCTCATTATAATAATTGATACATTACATGCAGCATTAATGGGAACATTTGCTCGATACATAATGATTCAAGTAATTTGACGAAAGCTTTGCATCAATTAGTTGTCTTTCTTCTTCTCATGATATTTGCTCTCCAGTGAGAGAAACTCTGCTCATATGCGTTAATCATATATATTTATATGGCCATCTGAATTTACTATCGAGATACTCTTCCAAACGGCTATCTATAGAAATTTCATTCAAAATTTTTTGAAAAAAATGAACCAAATCCGGACTCGAACATTTACCAACTTCTTCTTTTAGATTCGACTCTTACTATCTTCTCGTTCTGAAATGACTGAAGTTGTAGCTAAAGCCAAAACATTTTATCACAGCATAGATCGAGATCAATCTTTGAATTCAAAAAAGGCGGCAACTGGTAGTGAAGGTCTGGTGCAACAATGAAAAAGTTATATATTCAGAGCAAATTATAGAGGCTAAAAATTCTTGGAAGGCTACCAACGTGCCACCAGCAAATTTCATTCAACAACAAACTCCTTCAACTTATGCACCCGATTCTGATTATAATAAACCAGCTTATGCAAGGATTCCGCCAAACGGCGGTCATGAGCCTTACGGCAGTACTCGTGAACCTCATATGAGTACAAGCTTCAATGGGCACATCAATCAACGCGTAAATGACGTCGGTCCACCTCAGAAGTTTCCTTTTGAGAAGGAACCGTTGAATGGTCCTGTTTATAATCGTCGTCCTCCAGTCAAAGATGTTGAAATGCCAGCAAGATATTATGGTGGGCCAACTAAAGATCCTCGTTCGATTCCCTATGCACGCGGTCCTCCCAAATCCGTATCACCTGACCTCAAGAAAGTGAGTTTCTGTCCTTTTCATTATTTACATTGAATCTGTACAATGAGAATTATCACATTCAAACTTTTTAAAAATAGGACTTTGGAGACAACAGTCACCGAGCTGACTCAAAAATGCCTCCCGTTGCTCATAGAGGAATGCATACTCCTCCCTCAACAATCAGAAATAATTTTAACGGAACATACCCACCCCAAGTTCCGCAGCCTGACAGACACTTAGACTTAGGAAAAGATACCAGAGAGTAATCTATCTTTTCTATCATATTCCAATAAACAACATTCATCTTTTAGCCCGATGAATTATTCAAATAACCTGGGACCTTCCAAAAACATTGGTCCTCCTCCTCCAGTAAGAAACGAAACTTGGAGGAACAATGGTAGAGGTAATGGTCGTGAACGTAACTGGGATTCAAGGTTAGAGTTTTCTCTTTTTTTTTGAATGTGTAATCGTTTATAGACATGATACGGCTCCTTATCCTGAACGGAAGCCATATAATCCGATGAAAAATGATGTTTGTTTAATGTTTCAAGTTTCCATGAATATATTTTTGTTCATATTAGGTGTTTGACGACATGCCGAACAGAATGAAACCACACGTTTATCCACCTAATCCTAGAGGAGGCTTGTCGTCTAAGCCCGGACGTGGACCTAATGGTTTTATGGAGAACCAGCCTTTTATCAAACGAAAGTATTGTGAAGCGTAATAGTAGCCAAATAATAATTCTTGTTTAAGTGAGCAGCACTATCTTGAACTCAGCCGTTTACCGAATGAAATGCTCCGTCATCAAGTTTTGGAGGATTTTGTAAAGCCTTCTATACCTCTCAACTTCGATTCTTTTAAAATAGTTTATAGTCCGGAAGGTATAATTTATCTGACTATAATGTTATAATTCCCACTGGCAGGTATTCTGATGCATACTCTTGTTCGGGTGGAATGTGAAGAAGATGCTAAAAATCTAATGTCAAGAGACGGTGAACAAGGAATCAAGTAAACTCTTCCCATCGCGCCCTTAAAATAAAAATATTTTCCAGGATTCGTATGTCCAGGAAGCAAATTTTTGATGAAGCTGATGATTCCTTCAATGCCAACAATGTCAGTACTTTTTGCTCATAAACTCTAATGCATTACAACTTTTAGTCTCCGAGTGATAGGACAGACTATAAAAAAAAACGTTCGAGATCACCCGAAGATAGAAGACGCCGCAGGGAAAGAAGGTTTTGATGAATTTTTTTTCTTTCTGTTATATTCTCTACTCAAGGTCCCGTTCTCGAGACAGAGAAGTTAGAAGAAGTAGATCTCCACCACAAAAGAGAGGAAAGCAAGATCCGAACAGATGGTGTTTGCTCCTTACTAATGTTCCTTTCCGCATTTCTGAAGCTGAACTCAGAGAGTAAGCTGTTTTATACTTTCATTTGCTGATTGATCTTTAGATGGCTTGGTGATCGAGCTGATCCTATTCAGTTGGTACGAACCTACTATGCCAATGGTAACGCCTCTGATAGATGGATAGCAGAGTTTGAGAATGAAAGCATTCGCGAAAGGGTGAAAGGAATTCGCTCCCAATTACAAGGAAGAACTGTCAAGTATTTTCATTGTTATTTCGTGTTTTCGTAAGCAATGTTAATTAGGATCGCCAGCATTGATAATGATTTTGCCGACGAACTGAAAAAAGTCGAAGATAAATATGGAGATGGAAAGAAGAAAGAGAATGAACTAGTAAAAGTGTGATACGTAATGGTGCCTAAACGATTTATTACAGAAAATGATGGCCGAAATTCAATTGCAAAAATTGAATGGATCGGGTAGAGATCCACCTCCAGTTCAACATTTCCCAACTCCCGCTTATAGAGGCAGGGGTGGCTTCCGTTAGTTATACTTCAATAATATTCTTCAAAAATTTGTATTTAGCAAGAGGAAGGCCTCCACTCGCAGGAAGCAACCGTGGAAGAGGAAATGGCATCACACCTCCTATGCCTCATGGAAACTCTTTCATGGGAAACAATAACTACAATGTCAGAGGTGGTGGACGTGGACGAGGAGGTTGTCAATTAGACTAGATCTTTAATAAGCTATCGGTTTAAGTTGCTCGATCTGGACATTTCTTCAATACTAACCCCATAGCCTCGAGAGATAGAGAAGATAGAGACCAGAACAATCTAGAAGATGACTATTACTCTGATGTAGAAAAATCATATTTTCATGAATCAACATCATATTTACAGATGCCAGCAGTTGACAGAGACATGGCTAGTAGTTTAGGAGCTCAAGGATGTGTAGTTAGCTGTTATGGTTTTCCCTCTGATTTAACATTACAGGTTTTTTTTCTTATCTATATATAAGGCATAGTTGTATTCAGGATGTAATGGGTTTCTTTGATGGATATCCTGTAGATGAGAATTCTATTCGCATGCGCATGGGAGAAGGTGGGGTTGGTACTGGAGAGTGTCTTCTTGCTTTTGAAGACTCAGAGGTATGTATCTGCATCGATGGAACTAGTAATAATCAATTATACAATTAAAGAGTGCTACCAAAGCTGTACATTATTTGAATGGAAAATCGTTAAGAGGACATTCCGTTAAACTTATTATCGCCGCATAATCAAGCTTTGAAAATTATTTAATCTCAAGATTCTCAGTTTTTGCCCGATACTCATTTAAGAATATAGAACTATTGAATGTTTACTCCTAATATATATTTCTACGTGTTGTTGTTGTTGTTACAATTTTCATTTAATTTTTTTTTGCCATTGCGGGTTTCTTGTATCTTACTCAGCAGAAGTCTAATAACAATTTTCTTTTGTTTCGTGTATTAACTACCAAACCTTTCAAGGTCTGATTTCTTGCCGATCCTGTCTGATAAAGCATATTCTTTCACTATCTAATTACAGTACTTTTAAATTTACAACAGAGAGTTGCAAAACCTGAAGATTAGCAGCTTTGCACTGCACGACGTCTGGAACAGATCATTGGCCAGCAAACAGGAAAAGGTTGAAAAATTTCTGATTGGCGTGACAGATCATTAGTTTGTGACCTTCTTGGATGAGAAAGAAAAAAACAATTGAAATTCTATCCTTTAGTAGTCATGGGCATCCGCCCAAAGTCATCTACTGAACCACTGAATGTGCTTTGCCTTCTCGGTTATCCCATTTCATCATTTTCGTCAGCATTGAAAACAAAATCTCCTGAAATGGATCTACTTAGATACCCAATCTCTTCATCGTTTTACTTCCATTTCTGTTATCTTTTACTTGAAAATATTTCTGGTAGCAATGTTTGCGTACCAAAGAAGTTCGGGAAACTTATAAGAAGGAGGCATTTATGGTATCCTGTATTTCCTATTTCCTGTGTCCTAGTACTTGTTTCCAAAAAATGGATTAAAATTGGTTGATAACAATCTTTTTAACTTCTAATGGAAGAACATGAGAGTTAGATTTTCTAGTTTTCCATCAAAGGGCAGTAAAATCACATGTCTGGCTGCTACGGAAGTAACGGCTCCGCCGCGCGGTTTTATTTCTAAATCACTAGCGTTCAAAGGTTCTGATAAAGAATGAAAAGAATTGATAAAATGTTATTATTTGCTGAATGACGGTGGACGACAATTAACTGCGCATGTAACTTCGCTAGTATGTAATCGTTGGTTATCTGTCAGCCCTCATGACTCAAGACGTTAACAAAAAAATTTCAAGTTCTTTTAAGGCCGAAAATCATTCGATTTCATATCATTTCTTGATTTTGCATATTTTTGTTCGTTCTTTTAACTACCCCCGAAAACCAGTTGAAGACCAATCTCCGCTCACCTTTTAAACAAGTGCTCTTTATCGCCAAAAACATTGTAAGTTCAATCGAAGTTTTTTCTTTTGCCTTTTCTCGCGAAAATTGAATTCCGCCTACTTTCCCAAATGCTCAGTCTGTCCACCTCATACTCCAATGTTGTTTTTTTGTCGACTGGAGACCGATTTGTTTGATGAATTTTAATTAAACCAAAGTATTTAGTGAATGACCCAATGTATCAATATAGTATATTGAAAAATTAGAACAACAAAATTTGAAAAAGAAATGTCAGAGAGACAGAGATAAAGAGATCGCAAGAGAGAGGAAGAGAGAGAGAGAGAGAGAGAGAGAAAGAACGATGAATTTCACAATTGTAAAAGAGCAGTGTTGAAAGCGAAAATAACATCTTTTTTTCACATCTGGCATGAGGATGAGATTTTATATACATGATTTTGAACCATTTTCCCATTTCCTTCTTCACTTCTCTTTTTTGTGTTCGAAAATTCTATCGCAATCGAACGACTTTATTATAATATCTACCTCTTCATGTACATATTTGGATATGGAAAGTTGTTAAGTTTGACGATTGTTGGTGCTAACGTTATGAAACCTTTCCAGTTACGAAAGGTATCGCTCTTACCCATTTTTATCTATTTGATATTTGGACCAAAATATGAAGAGATTATCTATTTTTCCGCCTCTTTATAAAAACTTGTTTCAGCTTCTCCTGCTAACAGCCCTTCTTTTACTAACTTTTTTTTTGATTTCAGCAGGTTATGAATAACTTCATATTTCGTTTCTCATCCATCCCTATTGCTTATTGACTCGGCACATTCATCCTTTTTTTATATATTCTTTATAGTGTTTTTATTCTACCGATCCCTTGGCGTTTTCGTGCAACATCAGTATTTACTGGATGGAGGATCGTTCATGAGAGTGTATATGCTTATGATGACAGTGGCAATTGATGGCATTGTATGTTTTAGGCAGAAGAAAGTCGAAGTGTTCAATAGAAAACTATGAAAAAAATAGGAGAAGCACGGAGAGGAGAAAAGAGTCACAGAACAAGCAATGGATTTCTGATAGAAGTGCATCAAAAGGAGAAGCTGACGTGCAGACGATTAGATGAGAGTCAACTGCATTAGAGGTGGAAAGGCACCGTTATTTTGAGCTGACGTTGTCGATGGTGCAGGAATCTGTGCCCATATGTACACACAATACTGGAGGCGATAAACAAGAGAACAAACAGTGCACGTGGTTTCTCCTTTCCACCCTTGCTTACTCTTCACCAGTTGTTTTGGCTGTTCTGAAATTCGAATGCTGTCAACCAATCTCTGTAAACAAATTGCAAACCTTCTTATCCTGGATCGGTAGAAAGACGAATCGTCATCGTGTACAGCCAGAAAAAAAGGCAAAATACGACAGCACAAGTGATGGAAACAACAAATGAAACTGAAGAGAGATTGAGATCAAGAGAATGCTTTTAAAAAAAAGCCAACATCACTCATACTAAACAATGCCGATCTTGCAACATTTCAGCCGAATTCCCATAATCTTTTTTTTTCTTTTCCCATTACCGTTACACTCCTATGTCCAAATAGCTATTTAAAAACACATGAGAGAATTTGAAACCTTTATTAATCTATCACTTTCTCACGATAATAGTTATATTTTCTCAGATATAGTGATTGGAATCGATTGATTGTTCTCAAGAACCATCTTCAATTATTTATTTTGCCTTTCTCCAGCCTTATCTTTCATGTGCAATTCTAATACTTTGCCCAATGGAACATAATAACAAAAAGTTCTTAAAAAGCTTATGGTTAAATTATATCTTATATTTCATATATTTACTTCTAAGTCTTTGTAAAGTCTTATCAATCATTATTCAATTTCAAAAAAGGGTTCATAGAATGGTTTCCACTACATGATATATTCATAATGATAGCATATTCAGTAGAAACGAAAACAATGATTAGCTTTAATCAGGGAAGTTGCAGCTCTTAACCTTCGCATTCTATCAGACATAATGGCTCCTACGTAACTTTTATCTTTATTAGGTTACGGTATTTTAGCAATGTCCGCAACAACAATTTGCAAAGTTCTATTTTATGTTAAAATATAATTGAAACAAAAATTTTGAATACTTTGAAATAGTTCGAGTAATCAATATGCATCGTATTCTGCTTCATTAGCTCACAAGCTTCTATCATGCTCCAACTTTAAAGCACCTAAGGGCAGTATCCCACACTGTTGTTCGAAACGTCTCACTTATGATATTGATCAATTGAAATATGTTTTCTCAATGCTTCATTTATCGGCTTCGCAATCGAAACTTTCTATTCAAACTTTGATTTTACTTCTTTCGCATGTACTATTACTCATTTGCATATTTGTTTTGCACACGTGGTTTTTCACGCGGAATCCACGTAGCTCATTTCAATGTTTTAACTTCATTTTTACAACGATGCGATCTCTAAACCGGTTCATTGTTATTAGGTTTTACACTTACTGCCATTCTTGAGATTTCGTTCTGTTATAACTTCAATTCAAACTTTAATACATTTCAAAACTATTGATTAGTTCAGAAATGTACCATTACTCCTCGCCGCCTAAGAGCGAGTTAGATGGATCGGTACTATTTCCTCAGATGAAAGATGGGCTTATACTTCCAACAGATTTTAAACGACAGGTGATTCCTTATTTCTTTATCATATATTTAATGACTTGTATACTAGGTTTCAACTTCCAATGATTCTTTCACAACATCTGGTGTATCTATACCTTCAATCAATTCCAATAGCATAAATATCAAAAGCGAGATAGACCTCACTGGTTGCAGTGAGTTTTCTGATGGTATTTTGCTTTTTCATTAATCTCAAACAAGTTGGTTGTAGAAGATTATAACAATGAAGTTCCCAAAGGAAGAAGTTCCTCGTTCTGTGGTGCCACACAGTTTTCTTCTCTCAATCATACCACCTTTAATCGAAGCAACCTTATGTGGAGCCGAGGACTGCAAAATACCGGGTACGCTTCTTTATTTTTTTTTCTCTTTTTGTTTGCTTTTTTTCTTTCTACTACTTTACTTACCGCTAAAGACTTATGTTGCGGACTTGAATATTTTTGACTTTTGGGACTTTGACTCATTCTCATATTGAGCGTATCAACTAGCCAGTCTTCGTTTTCTTATCAAATCCTTTCAAAAATATAACCAGGCAGCGATATTGCTTCTGATTTGCTTCTATAGCAACCATCTACTAATCCCTTAATATAAAATAGGATAATCTTCGGCAGGAGGATTGATTGTCTCTTTCTTGGTCTAAGGCCTCGCTCATCTCTTTATATTTTTCGAGAAAAAAAACGTAACAGAAATGAGCAGCAGCTAGCATTTATAGCTCGATTCGATAGAATGTTGCGAGTATCTATGCTCGTCTAGAAACGAACGGGCAGTAAACGTACTAAATATCTGTTTCATCGTTCCTTAAGAGTGTTGTTTTCTTGTTTTCTGACTGGGCTTAGTATCTGGACGTGTCATGTTTGCACAGCACTTTTTCTTTTAGCGATTTTAAATGTGCCTGCAGATGGGGATGTTGTTTCCTTACGAACCATCTATTCCCTTTCCTCTTACCATGCGGTGCTGGTCCATTAACGTTGAAAAGCAAAACAATACCAGATGCATTCTAACATTCTGGCAAATAGATTCGACGTTCCGTTGTCTGATGAACATTGGGGCTTGCCCTCTCTATTATGTCAGTTGTTCCATTTTTTGTCGTTCGTTTTTTCTGTTTTTAAGTGATTCTTAATTTTCACTCCTTGTTTTGTTGATAGCATGTCGCTTGTAAAGCTTATGCATCCTTCTATCATGTTCGTGATTGTTATCTTTTTTAACCTATGCCTCTCCCTAGTGTATTAACCTGAAAATGAATCTTATACGGTTGTCAAGATTCTTATGTCACTACCTAAAGCACAAAACATGATCTTTGTTTTGTTAGATTTGATTTTTTTTATCTAATATTTTTTATAATCTTTTGAGTGATAGTATTCGAAATTCGCTTGGTATAACGAAGTAATTCAGACTGTTCTTTGAATAGTTCATCTTGGCATTCATCATAATCGGATAGAATGAAATAAGTAGTGATTTGACATTAATTTCTAATTTTGCCTTCTTTTTAATTCAAAAAAAAAAGAAAGAAAGATTATACGGCTTTCGATTCACCCGCCAAATGCATGCTATTACATTCCTAACAAGAATTAATGTTAGGCTATAGTCCTGCCATGGTTACTTATTTCAATCATGTTCGACGGTCACCGTTTCCGTGATATGAGAATGTTTCTTTGTTTTTTTTCCCTTAGTTGGGCTCAAGTTCCCAAGTCATTGTTTCACTTTTTCTTACTCTGATTTTATTTTTCTGTAACATACTCGCGCATGTGCAGTTCTCACGTTTTTTGTTTCTTATTTCCCTAGGCTTTGTTTGAATCTTTTGGATTTTTATTGAGAAAAAAAAATTTCGATCCTTAGTCCTACAGTAATCGTAATGCGAAGACAGTGGTTGTGAAATTCTTTCTTGGCAGCCATGTAATATCAGAAACGGGCTTTGATTGTCAAAGCCTGACACATGTGCATACTTGGCTATTGGTTGTATTTTTGCGTTACCTGTTCATCATGGATGTACTGGATATGTAGTTCGCGTTCCTTGTCCTTTCTTCAATGTTCCGCCGACCACCTTCGTTGAATTAGCGTTCTGCTTGCTCCCTTAAAAGCTGTCAGGACAGCCTCGAAAAACTATGCAGACTAATTTTTATCATCAAGAATTTTTTTGTTGAAAAAAAGGCAAATTGCAAGCATAACAGTTTAATTACATTTAAATACGTATGTTGGAGAAATGATAATTTGGAATTGAAGTTGAATTTCAATGTTATATTTCCTTGTATGTTTTTTGGTTAGTCATTTAATATTTTTTCTAATGAGGGGAAAAAGAAAGCATTCTTGGCATTGAACCTGCTGCATCACGTGCAAAGCGCCTGATGGAAATGCAGAGAAGATACTTTTATTCTTGACTTCTTTGCACTTTTAGGGCAAGTCGTAGTTCCTTTCCATTTCTTTCCATTCTTTTCCTTTCTAGTTCTTCTCCTTCTCGCCTATTTTGGCTGAGGTAGTTGAACATGCAACGGAATCACTATCAGCTCTGCAGCATCTACGTAGAGAAGATTTTATCATTTATCTACTTCTCTAGTTTTTTAGTTCATTATCATGAAGCGGTAAAGTTCTTTTTTTATTTGCATTATGAAATTTGAGAACACAAACAATTGTTTTGCTGCTGTTCCAAGCTTTAAAGCTTTTTTTGGCTTCATCAGCTTTGTTTCGCCACTAGTTCTTATCAAGATTTAAAAAAAATGTAATGTGCCATTCCTTCAGTAAGATCAGTAAAGTTTAAAGAATTTGAGTATATAGATCAATACTAATATATTTAAATGTCTAGTTTCTTTCTAGAAAGCTAATAATTAATTGAAGCAATTAGTGAGATCTATCCTATAATTTCCATTTTCGCATTAGTGTACGTTTTGCTCATACTCACCAGTGTAATGGGAATTTCAAAAAATATGTAACGTTTTTTGTCTTAATCCTTATGTAATAGTTTCGTGTGAATTCTTTTGTTTTTTTTAATAATACTCTAGTTTCCTTTTTCGGAGGATAAAACTAACACGTACGTTTCCCCGCTCATTAGAGTTGGATTGCAATCCATTAGGAAATATATGTATCAGTTGCATAACATATATATATATATATCTTGAGATTAGCTTCTACTTTAACTTTTCCCCTCTAAGCCTTTGATGAAATGGTTGTTGAACGTTAAATGAGCGCCTCTTCCATATTTCTCCAGCAATCCTCTCCATACTCTCTTATATTTTCCCGTTACCTCTCTCTATCTTCATCTTTTACATTTTCTTTTCTCTTCACATCCCTCTCTTGGTCTTCCTTTTCTGAAGTCATTTCATTGACTTTTTCATTCCGCTTACTCATTACTATAATCAGAGGATGAATGAAAGAAGTGACCAAAAATGCAATTGATGCATCTCTGTTCCATTTTCGTTGTGAAAAGGGCTGGGTACTATTCATAATTCCTTTTTCAAAAGGCAAACTCAAGTTACTTGTGTATCTTTATTGCTCAATCTATTTTGTTTTGAACAGAAAACTGCTTATCAAAAAGATTCTGACAGTTCCAAGAAAGCTAATCTCTTCCAAAGAACAATTCTGGTATTTTCACTATACATCCAAATTTGTGATCATTTGTTCTCCTTCTTAATTTCTATCATATGGTCAATGTGTCATATGAGCTTATTACTAATTGAGAGTATATTTCTTTTTTTCTAGCTTCAGCTTTTAAGTCAGCTGTCACTAATTCATAGTGTATATCCGTGATTAGGTAGCTATGAGCGAATTCGTATTTAATATTAAGTTCTCCATAACTGCCAGGAAATGAAGCAGAGTAGAAAACGGATACGCCGTCAAGTTATGCTCTGACTTTGCTATGCTCAAATAAGAAAAAATGGCGGCAATAGAAAGCCGAGCAGAGCAATCGTCCGTCCCATCAGTGCCATCCGTAATGAGGAGCTGTTTTCCCCTGACGATGTAGTCTGGCCGTCGTTGTGTCTCCTCTCGGGGCATCAGCAGAGCATGAAAACCAAATGACAATCTTCACTAACGTTAGCTCTGTTGTTTCTCACTTTATATATATATATATATACTACATAAATATATATCTGTATATATAGATATATATATATATACATATATAGAACGAAGGAAAATCTTTAGCTGTACATACACGCAAGTATGGATACGTGCTCAACTATAGTTTAAGAGATCTATAAGATAGCTGATAATGCTCTCCATCTATTCTGAAATTTTCTGAATTTTTCATGATTGTTGGGAACTGCCTATCAATTAAATGTCTCCAAGCTTGTTTAGCCATATTTTTTAAGCTGGCTTATCTATGTTTGCTTCCGCGATGTCTTCGTATCCGGGTAATTTACTGCTTCAACTGCTTCACTGACTTACAAAAACTTTTTCATCATCATGTATACCTAAAAGCTTTCCATACTAGATCTATATATCGATGTGAATTATTTTCCTTCAGCACTAAGCTAAAAAGTTTAAAAATTCATAGCAAAATATTGCGTAGTATTAAGTGCTTTTTTTCATTTTCAATCGGATACCCAAGTATGTTTGAAAGTGATGCACTGTTTAACACCCTTCTTGCATTCGATAATATTAGCTAGTATTTGAGAAGCCCGACGCTATCTCTATGACGCACTGTTGCCTTGTTTTTCTACTTTGTTCGGCTTCTACTCAGGGGTTGTGATTGTTCGTTTTGCCTGAAGGCAATTTCAATTACTGGAACAATGGGACCGTCGTCCGGTTCCTCTCTCGATCGGTTCCAGGTGGTATGATGGTCGTCTTCGGCCGGTTGCGGGTTAGATGCTGCAACAGCAGACTAGATGGTTGAATGCTTGGCGATAGCTGATGACTGCATGTCTGTGGGTGGTCTATTAAGTTTTTCTTCGATTTTTCGGGTGGTCCTGGTTTAAGGTAACACTCCGTGAAAATTTATGCTAACTTGTTTTGCATAGGTTCAAAGAGGAAAATCAAGACTGTTTTTAAATTTCAATTTATTCCACAACTTTTTTCACAGTGAAGGTAATAGATAGGAACAAGTAGAATTGATTTTATATTATGAATCTTAAAATATCATACAATCGTTTTTCGAAGTTTCGTTTCTGCTAACTCCATATCTGAACAATATGTGTACGATTTCTTTCATTTTCCGTTTATTGCAGCTGATGCTGCTAGAGGATATAGACTGGTTTAAGACCCCTCCGATCACGGCACAATTTAAGCGTTTAGTTGTGATTCGAGTCAAAAATAATCTGAATGCTTAATTTGGGGTAGTGCCAGGCTTAGAATATGTTTTTTTTTCTTAAAACTAGAACGATTGAAGAGTTTAAGATTTTTTTCGTTGCCAAAGTGCTTAGTTATTTTGAAACTTCCGCTAACTCAGCCGTTTGCTATATATTTTTTTAAAGCTAAAGTTTGTATACTAGGACCAAGTTATCACAGAATGTTTTCGGTTATTTCCAAGTCATGAGCATTTAAGTAACAGTTTTCTGCTTTTGACATCTAAGTTCATCTATCAAAATGTGGCTTAGTATTCATTTTTTTCTATCCAAAATTAATATCTTTATATATTATCCTTTGACGCTCTGAAGTTATTTCTACTGCATTTTGAAATAAATTAATTCATATCTTGCAAATATCTTTTTGAAATTTCTGGGATAATACTAGCTTTATATTTACTTGATTTGACGTAACAATATGCTGAAGTATCAATTGTTAACATCTTGATAACCATTCTTTTTCTTTTCAAATTTTCTATTTATTCATTGCCTTTGTCTTTATACCTCTGTAATGCCATGCAGAATTTGATCGGATTTCTGCTAATCTTTTTTTAAAATATCCCATAAGGAACATGAGTCTTTTTTATTCTACACGTCTGGCAACCGATCCTGATTCATGCAGCTTTGCTTCTGCAACAGCCGTTAAAAGAAAAAGCAGGTCAGTCACGGACTGCTACTCATCTCTATCCCGATATGTGTTTGACTGAAGAGCAGGCTAGCTTTCCAGCTTCGCCATGACTTCCCTTGGCTTGCATGGGCTTAGCTGTTCTCTGTGGCTGGTCTGGTTCTTAGATGATAGTTAATGAAGAGAGTAAAAGGATTATATAGCAATGTACTTTTTGTAAAAATTTTCTTTCTTCTTTTTTTATGTCGTCTTGTTTAACTTTCAACTCTAGTATTCACATAGTTATAGTTGATGAACATTTTTTCACTTTAAGACGCCTCTTCTTTTGTAAGTTAGTTTCGCACAATTGGTACCAGTGGAAATTTAATGGGCCAGCTGGTCGTAAGGACCATGATCCGTTGTGCGGCAAAATGGGCTGCAAAAGAGATTTCAGGCGAAGTGTTCACTATTTTTCTTGTTTTTTTGAATTGCCGTCTTTCTTTCTAAATGTTACCCCAAATCTATTCCACACCTCATGTGTCCCTGCCCTCTTTTTGTTGCTGGTGGTGCTAGATTTCCTCTTTTTCTTGTATTCAACTGTGTTCTTAACTCCTGTTCCTCGTTGCCTCCCTCATCTATTACTTGTTTCCATCCATCGTTTTCCCTATTGCCTGCATCTTCTTTCTATGTCTATGGCATCACAGTCGTTTTCATCGAAGTCGTTACATTGCCGCTTCCATTGTGGAGAAACAGTGCTGTCAGGGCTAGTGTAGTTGTAGTTGTAGATGACAAGGGAAAGAGCGACTCAATCAACTAGTCTTCTTTTCCGATCTATCCATTTCTTTCCAGGAGAATATTAACAGAATGGAAGAATCTACTATAGTTTTCTATACTCTAATGGCTCAGATTTTTGTGATCTTGACGTGGTTATCACGGAGCTTATTAGTCATATATTACGATGGCTTTTATTTAGCAAACATCAGGTTTTCCTATGCTGTACTTGCGGTATGCAACAGCGTTTGGTGCATAATATCTATAAAACAGTCGGAAAACCCTGAAGCGACGACAACGTCGTGCGCCACCAACACCACGATCACAACCCTTCTCTCCAGCCAGCTAGTCAGCCAGCCCAGCCCCTATTTCAGTTCTGCGTTTCTGGCTTTCATGCACTATTTTTCAAGCTCTCTTCTCTCATCGGCAAGCCTACTATCTCTCCAGTTTCCCCCGTCTGCCACGAACGCCAGTACCGCCCCGCGTCCGCTTCGCGTCTCTTCTCTTTTCCAGTTGCTGGGGCATGCTACCATCCATCCATCCAGCCAGTCAGGCATCCTTCTCAGCCTACTCTACACCCTGATCACGTCTATTTATCTTTTCATTCCATCTGTCTATCATCGATCCTTTGACCTGATGCGGCAGGCTAGGATCGTGTGTGCTTTTCGTTCATTGCGCGAACCGGGAAAGTTAATGTAGAACCATCATACCCTTTTTTTTTCATTGCTTCAGCTTCGTTCTTCTTATTTTTTTACATTTTTAAAAATCTTCTTCTCTCTCCTACGAAAAGCTTTTTGGTCTCTTATTTTTATTCCAGCTGATATGGCTTCTTCTTTCGTACATATGACATTTTACAATATATGATATCTTATTTTCCGCTTTTTTCGTTTCAATTCATGTGTACCTTGCTTTCGTTTTCCTTACAATGGCATACCTCTTCTCGTTCCTTTCACTTGCCTATGTCGTACTCTTCTCTTGTTCTCTACTTCTGTCTACGTCCTTTTCTCTTACTGCCTTTCTGTCGGCCGTTTCGGTCTCGACTCGGTCTTCAATCTGTATGTTTGCTAGGCTGTCTCTTCATCTGCTACCTCTTCGCAATCCTGATCCGGTGTACCTTTGTAAATGACAAGCGTTCACGCATTCTTGTTGCCATTTCCACAGTATTGGACAGCTTTTGATTTTCGATCATGATACCCACATTACCTTTTTAACATCATGATGGCGTCAATGGCCGCTGTTGCGCGCCATCACTTTTCAACCTAAGTCTCTTTCTATCGATCTATGATCAGAGAGGACTAAAGAAAATGAGAGATACCCGCTAGCCTTGAAATTTGTCTGCCACCACTTTTTCGCTAGTCGATCGTGGTCTCCATCATATTGTTCGAATGCCAGTTACTGAACTTCATGAGTTGCCATTTGAACAAGGTCTCAAGTGTGAATATGTACGAAGAGCCATCTCTTCATTTCAATTCATGAGTTTACATAATAATTAGAGAGTCGTCTTTTCTTCCGTACGGTCAGACCGGGAACAAGCGGAGCAATTATTTTCTGTGTGTTCAACTCCCAACCCACAATATTGAGCTTCTCTTTTATTTAGCATACCTGCCAATGCATCTTGGACTTATCTATTTTTAGCTCTAAGATCTATTTTTATCCAATGTTTTTTTATTACATCATGAATCTCATTCTGGATGTGCATAAGATCCATAATTTCTCTCAGAAAAGCTAGCCGTCTTCGTTGCGGACTCAAGTTCCCCTTCTACTTTCTACCGTAGCAATTATGGGATTTTCTGTCTGCGTCCTACTTCACTTTCACACGTCGTTCTCACATTATTTTTCCCAGGAACAACTCCATATTGCGATTTTTGAAGTGGTATTTTGTGTTCCGACTTCATGTTTCTTTATAAACTAATTACCCGCTTCTGAACTCAGGTTCTGTGCCCTTTCTTCCCGAGTTTGGCTCGACTATCACAAAGAACAGGGGCGGCATTAAATTAGACTCGAATTTTGCTTAAAAGGAGAGTTATATTAAACTGCACAATTCGCATCGTGTCTATATGTACCAGCTTGGTGGGCAATTTATCTTTTTTTTTACCGGCTATTTCGATTCTTCGGGTCGGGTACTGATGAAATTTTCTTGATAACGCTTATCGTTTTGTCTGTCCTCCTCCATCACATTGTCCTTCACTCATTCTTTTTCGTATCAGCTGCTAGCTGGTCTCTATTTCTTTGCCTGCCTCTTGATGTGCTGTATGTCTGTTGTTACGTCTGTTCTTTTGTGCTTGTTCTCTTCTGCTGTTGTCGTTATAATCATCCTCTACATCGACTTTTCTTTGAAATTTACTTTCTATTCATTTCTCTGTTTTCAAGTAGAAGCCATCTTGGCTTCTCTCTGTATCGTCGAAACGCTGGTCAGATCAGCGCTTTGGATTGTACTGATAGCTGAGCAACGCATGCATGAAGCAAGTATCTTTGCTTTTCCATTTCATCCTATGTCATCAATTCTATTGGAGAACGAAGCCGGCGGAAAGCCTCTTCTGCTGGGGTGCCGTTCTCTTTTCCTCTTCTCTGTAGCTGTTCTAGTGTTTTTCTTTCTACACTATCCTCACTACTTTATACTTGTTGGGCTTCACATCTCGTTTTTACTGATTATCGTCTTCCTCATTCTCTTTTCGCTCTTCTCACTCTCGGTTTTCCGCTCTAACTATTGGCTTGAGCTGCGGCTGTTGTGGCTGTGTGACGGCCCCCAGCCGAAGCACTTTACCTTCTAAAGTGCAAGTCTAGCTGCACTTTCTTTCTAGTATTGATAAATTCGCCATCCACACTACCATCGCCTACAAAATGTAGAGGGAACACGAACATCGATTTCAATTTTCATATTCTCATTTTAGCCACTATTTCCATTTACTTTTCAGATCATTATATTTTCCACTTATATTCAATTTGATCTCATCTCTCATTTATTCGTAATTAAGGATCGCATGGACGAATGTCTGACTTCCTTAGGCACAGCTTTCCTGCTTTCCTCTTTGCTCGATATTGCTATATACTGCCTGCTTGCTTACTCTGTATCTGCTCCTCAATCCGCACACATTTCCTGAATCCATCTCCGTATTAATCTGTCACACTCTACATCTCTAGCTATTTCTTCCTGACATTGACATCATTTTTCTCAACTCGTGCATAAGCTTGACTAAACTTTCCACTCATCTCTATGATTATTCTTCTTTTTTTGTCATTCATAACCTTTAAACTAATCGTAATCTCTTATTTTCTTCATTTCTCCCAAATTTCTGCTGTATATGATGTTAATCCTCTATGATAATCAAGATTTTTATAGGCTCTTCGCTAGTTACGCAGAAGATAGAAGCCTCCATATCCCAATCCCGTGCGCAGAGGAGAGAGCTGGACCAACAATGAGCGCTGGAGGAGGAGGGCTTACAGCTACCTCGGTAACAGTTGGTGGTAACGAACCAAATCCGGGCACTCCAACACATCTTGGTGCTGAATCATCGGCTTGTCGCCCGTATATTCCTTCTCCTGATGACACGTTAGAAGACCTGACGCCTGTTTCACGAGATCGTTGCAACACATGGCCACTACCTCGTCCATCTCTTGATTTAAATCCTCAAACGAGTCCTTTAATCCATGAGCAAATACCGGAAGAAGACAATGAGTGAGTTTTTTTTCTGATTCACGAGCATAGCTCTTAGATGAGCAACTTTTTTCACTTGGGTCCCTGTTCGGATATGCCGTGATTTATGCTAAACTAGTCCATTAACTGCCCTTTCTGGTTTAAGGCTATAATCAAGCTTCGTATACGCGCTGTAGACAAAGTAGCGACGAATATCGATTATGTAGTTAGTAGAGATAATCGTTAGTAGATATACCAAAAATAAAAAAGCGCCAATAGCTTCTATCACTTGGTCTATATACAAGCTTTGAATAGTTTTCATTCTTCTGCTCTCGTATATTCCAATAATTGCACCTAGCATAGCACGTAGATATAGATATAGGCATGTGTAAAACTCGAATCTGGTTGAGCACCAGAAGTGAATAGTTAGATTACCGTGATATCTTTTAGATTATATGACAGCTCTGATAATGTGGGACGGCTTGGTGCCTTGTCGACCGCTTCTACGGGGATGGTACATTCTCCGGAGAATACCATGAATTTTTCTCCTGGGTACGCTTGTTTTGTAAACGCGTTTATAACTACAAATTTCACAAATCCCGCTTTACCAATCGAAACTAAAGTATAGAAATATCAAAATTCAACTTTCACCACCAATCACGGATCTGTTTTATGCTTTCTTATATTTATTGTCTTCAGTATGTCTTCGCCCATCATGAATGGAGTTCCGGCATCTGGAGCTTCTGATACATCCGATCCTGGATGCACACCTGGTTCAAAAAAGTCGACAACTAGGAGAAATGCTTGGGGAAATCTGAGCTATGCTGATTTAATTACTCAAGCTATTTTACAAAGTCCAGAAAAACGTCTTACTCTCTCGCAAGGTTGGTCGGACATTTACCAATACTTAAATGAGAGTTGTTCGCTGAGTGATGCTTGAAAAGAGGGTTTTCTGTTAAAACACGGATCTCTAAATTCTGCTTCTTGCTTGATATGAAGACCCGATAAGAAAAAAAACTGAGGTATATCACGCTATTCTGTGATATAGTTATGTTATCTATCCTGTTTTTGAAGAAGTACAGAGCATCAGATAGGGGTGAAGGAAAAAGGGGAGGGAAGAGCTTTTTTTCTACATAAGCTCAAAAAACACTGCAACTCAGAACAAAAAATATCTTATCATACTTCAGTTTACGAATGGATGGTCCTAAATGTGCCGTACTTCCGGGATAAAGGAGATTCGAACAGTTCTGCTGGATGGAAGGTGCGCTAGTTTTATGTTTCGGGGTTCGATATCACAAAGTTTGAATGAGCTTACATCTTACAATGTAATGAACATGTTCTAAGTATGTATGTATGTGAGTGTGTGACAACGGTAAGTATGCTTTGTGTTCTTTTTCTATTGCCATTTGATTGGGGTTAGACTACTGCGCTTTTATAAATGGCAATTATGAACAGTCGAGATCTGTATTTTTGAGGTGTTATACGCTCTATATCTAGTATTTTATTGTTATTTTGCATTGATTTACTTTCACTTCTTTTTTCATTCTCATAATCTTTCTCTTTCTTCCTACCTGTATTTGCCCATCTAACGTTTGACGTCTCAACCAAGCTAGCTTCCTTTTTTACTGTTGACTTTTTATGTTGTTTTTCATCAGTACTAGTAGCTATGGCTAGGGTATACTTAGGCCATATAAAGTTAAAAAAAAACGTGAGTATTGAACACATAAATCATAATGTGTTTTAGTGGGGAAGTTTTATCGCAAATTCATTGAGAGACACAGATATCTATTTTTTCGTTTTCATTTCAACCTATTGCTAATACTAGTTGAAAGTAACACATAAGGATATAGATATTATATGAATGTATGAAAAAAAACCTGTAATGTATGAGGTGAATATTGTTTATAACATTGTTTTATAAACATTACACTTGTGCATTCGTGACGTGAATATGAGTATAAGAGCTTAATTCAAATTATTTTCTTATCACTCATAATAGTACGTATGACCTTATATCGCTCTAATTAATGTATAGCAGTAATTAGATATGCATAGGTATATCTGGACGTTAAAAAAACTCCAGGTGTCCTTTAAATAATTAGAAGCCTTTTATTGACACTTTTGATGAACTTGTTTCCATTCTTTCTTTCTTTCTTTCTTTTTTTTTTGTCTGTCTCTTACTTTCTTATCTTCTTCCTACATCATAGTTACTACTATTATTACTCGTTTTTGTTCTTTTCGGTAGTTTTTCAGTTGGAAGACATAAAAACGGCAAAACGAATCATTATTCCTGTAAATTAATGCAGAGGATATCGGAAAGAGAAAGTATCATATCCTCTATTCCAAGTATTAATATGAGAATTATTTTGTTAATTGTTGCACACCAACATAATTTCCATTCTTCTTCCTTTTGAAATCATTTTTTTCCGTTTTTGTCGTCTGAAGAATGAAATTGGTCATAGATTATTGTATGATACAAAAATCAGAGAGATAGAAACTGAATAGTTTCATGTTTACGCTCTTGTGTTTCATGTGTGTTATGACAGTGAATAGAAAAGAAAAAAGTTTCATTCTATCAGCTTTATCAGCTCATAATGTATCTGGTTCAGGTGGTATAAGTATTCAATAATCATTGTTTCTTATATGGTTATCGGGTGGGTGGTTAATAATCAATGATCAAAACGATTTTGATATCAGCCTGCTCCTATTTGGATTCTTAACTGCTTCTCAATTTCTAGCGAATTCCTAACATTTCCATTTTGCATGATTTTTACTCGAGCATCGCTTTTTCAATTAGAGAAATTTTCATGCTTGATTAATCACTAAATAATTAAGCATGACTTCGCATTTTATATTATGGTATAGCTAGTTAGCATATTTCTTATCTTTTATATTTCTTTCCGAATATTGCCCAATATTCTTCATTGTGATTATTGGTTTTAGCTGAGCATTTCGGAAAGATTGAAAATCATCTGATATGATGAAATTGTCTTTTTGGCTTTCAGATTTTTAGCCGCCGGCATATATCTTCTATATATAGCTAATAAGGCTGAAGAGTAGTTTACTTCGAATCAGATGCTTATTTCCTAAATATCTTAACATTTCATATTTTAATGGTTCCAATTTAATAAGTTGAAAAGGGAAGAAGCTATGATTAGTGTCTAACTCTCGGTTTTTTCTCCCTCCTTCATTCATGATTGTGTTTTTTCGAAATATTCGAGAGGTTCGCTCTCATCAACGTTTTTTTTTTCGGCCAGATGTTCTTTTTACTAGATGTTACTACTATACACCTTCTTATATTTTGTTACAATTGCTTTGGAATTTGTTTCTTTTCACAGCAATAGGAACGTATTATGAATGTTATTACTCTGAGAACGCCTGAGAGCATGTTGGACGTTCCAATTAGTGCTCACGTTTCCGTGATTTTTTTGTTTACCAATCTCATTTCCTCTTTAACCGGCTCCATACCCCATTTAGCGCTTAGCACGATTTCCAAGAGCTTCACTCATTTTTTTTTACATCATTTTTTAAATTTTCTCTGCTTTCACAATTTCATCTGAAAGCAAATGAGAAGCTGCGGAAAATGAGGCCGCTATATCCTTATAAGAAGAGGTGTCATCATCGGCTATTGTAGTCTCAATTCCTTCTTATTGATTAGCAGCTGGTTATCTTTCTGTTCATCTCATATAAATTCTGTGCCAGTATTTTTCTTTTCTTCCTCAATTTGATACTTTTTTTCTTTCTTTTTTCCTCGCAACTGAATACTTTTACTTATTCGCATCTAGCATCCACCCTCTCGCTCTTCATCTTTGTCCTCTCCTTCACCATCTTATCCATCAATCTTTCTCATTCATTCATTCTTTCGCTCTTTTTTTTGCTGGCTTTCTTTCATCTTGACTTCTGTATCGCTCATGTTGTTACTCAAAGGAAATTTTGTAGCTTTATTGTTCGTTTAAGAATATAGAGAATTGGTAATTTATTATCAGATGAATTACACATGTCTTTCTTTCGTATTAAACGCCTTCTTGAGGAAGAATTTTACTGGTTAATTCCTTTTCTGATTCTCGTGAGGTTTTTTTAATGATATTTCAATAGACGTTCACTTTAAAGCTCTAATAGCAAATGCTATCACTGTTTGTAGATGTGCAAATATAGGCACAGCCTCACACGAACACCTGTACCACCATGGCTCATCTTCTTCGCAATTCTGTTTGTCATAGAACTGAAATATAAAAAATACTAATTTTGAGTAAAAGAACATTTATCATGAAATGTATTTTTTCGGCATATATGCGTCACTACCGCATCTTCACAATGAGAAATTTAAAACTTTGATTTCGAAATGCGGAAATTATATGGCTATCGAAATTCTGCTTTGAATTGAACTAGTTGCTTATTAGCTTTTTGAAATTCTGCAAGATATTTGAGAAAGTATTATGAAATATGACTGATTGCCTGAAAACGCTATATGTTGGTGGTTCATTTCAACTTATTAGTTCTTAGACAAGCATAATAGATGAAATGCTCTAAGTAAGGTAATATCAGAGTTTCATTGTGTAATGAATCTCATATATTTGGTTGATGGCTTCTGCGAGAAACATTAACTTGACCCAATCTTCTTTTCTCTTCAACGAATATCCTCTTTATTTTTCGAATTCTTCATTGCATTTTCAATTTTCTTAAGCAAAGCATCAATTTATAGATTCTACTTAGAGCTATATTTGCTTTCTTTTCTCTCTAACTATTCGCTCGGTACGAAAACTGGTGTTAAACTTCATCGCTTGTTGAAACTATCACTGGGTTTAGTCAAACAGTTCTATATTTATATCTCACTCATCTCTTCTGCTTACGCATCGAGACTTTGATTAGGGATGACATAATGGAAATTTTTATGATATTTCTTCAGTAGTCTCATTTATAATTTCCCTACAGCACCATTGTCGTCACACCACGTACCCTATGATGGTCTTCGACTTTCAGTAGCATGCTTTGGATCTCTGCTGTCTATTCAGAGTCCGCCTTATTCGTAGAAATAAAGCCTGGAAGTCATTGAAAGGAAGAGAGGACTAGACAGAAAAAGGAACACGCGCAATCCTCTTCTTATTCGCTGATTCTCTATCCGCCCGTGTTCGCCGTCGTGTCGGGCTCCGGGCGGGCTCGAGCAAGCTCCTGTTGCTGCCGGCTTGTGCCGGCCGTCCGGTTGCTCGGTCAAAGCAATGTTCCCTCCCTGCTTTGAAATGCCTGCGCAGCATTTTCAAAGGCAGATTGAAGTGAGAGAGTGTGATGAAAATAATTACATATTTAGAAATCGCTTAAATTAAACCATAATGGTAACGAGAGATGAGAAGTTGAATAATTTTTTTTTGGCATGTTTTGAATTTCACCAGCTCTTATTTTGCCTATACTAGCTCAATTTTTCGTAATATGATTTGTGTTTTATATGTATTTACAAGTTTCAACACTTTTTAATCTTGACGATAACTATCCGAAAATAATTGAAAATTATATTGAATTGTAAGACCGTCATGTCGTATAATAATTCATCTCCTGCCAAAATGTTACGATAAATGTTATAGAAATCGTAATGATTTGATGAAATTCAAATGCTAACTCATTTATTTAATTGATTCTTTCGTATTTGAGCTTTCATCTCGATATTAGCGAAATTTTCTATATTATATGATGTTACTCGCTTTCACTCATCAAAAAATGATTTAACGTATATTAAGTTCGTTGATGATGATGGAAACGAGAAGACATTTAGAATCACATTTGGAACATAATCATTCTCATTGCTCAGTGTTCTTCATTGTACACAAGCGATTGATATGATGCTACTATACTTTACCTATACTTTGATATCGGAAGACGTTTTGATAACAAGAAAATGACCTCTTTAATGCTTGTTCATTATGAGCTATTCTCATATGCTTCTCAAATTACACAGCTGCTATTTTTTTATTCTCTTTGTAAAATGCTTGCGCTTAATCCAGTACCATTGCTAGATATCCGTACGGTTACTAAGGCTGCATATCTCCTAATAACAGACGTTTGGCATGGGTCACCTTTAGACCTACCTATCTTTCGCTTTTCCTTTATGTCCCTTTAGAGAGAGGCAAACCCAGTAAGCTTCTTGCTCTTTATTTTTCTATTATTCCTTTCTTTCATTCTCATTTTGCAACCCAATCATCTAATTGCAACGAAAGGATGAGATAGCCTTTAGCTTTTGCTTAATAACTTTTATGGGGTTCAATATCAATCCTATTACATGCAGACACTCTAAATCTTCTTTTCATTGAGTTCAGTACTGAACAATTGTTCTCCATGTCATCAAAAACTGAAACTGTTGATTTTTTTTTTCGAATTGAACTTCAATTTTGGAATATTCATTTTCTGCGGAAAGCATCGAAATTGGAAGCCATATATATCTGTTAGTAATTTTATTCTTCAGTTTTTTCATCCTATTCCCCGTATACATTTATTCCACAACCTATTCTCCTCTTTTTTTTTCTTTTACTTCTCCTTTTCCGTTTGGTAGTGGCCGTGTGTCTCTATGAGACGAGTGAGGATGGACCATAGCTAACGAATAAGAGAACGCCTTCTTTGCAGTAAGGTGGAACGACGAGTAGAGTGACAGCGAAAGAATGATATATTTCTGAGAGCACAAAGAAAATAGAGAGAGGAACAAGGGAGAGAGTGACCGCTGAGCGACCCCTGACCTCGGCATTGGTCGCCGCCCCGTCATCGATCGACAAAAAAACGAACGTTGGGAGGGGAAGGAGCGAGAGAGAGGCCTCCCCCGTGTCTCGTCGCTCCACCACCACGCGACGCACACAATCGACCCACACCGCCTGCCGTTTTTTGCCCGCCTGCTCATAACTCGCCTCTGCTGCTGCTGTTGCTGCTACAGCTACTACAACTTTTTTTTCTTCCACTCCTCCCCTTTCTCTCTGTGCCATTTTCCCTCTCACTCAGTTTCTCTGTACAGAAAGAGAAAAAAAAACTTATACAATCCAACAATGAGCAGAGAAAGAGAGAAAAAGTTATTTCTCTCCCCCCCTCCTCCCCCAGGCAGGCAAGCCTGTTTGTCGCGTTCGATCAGTTTTGATTCGCTCTTCGTTCATTCGTTCGTTCATTCGTGCGTTCGTGTGTTCTCGTACGTTTGCTCATCGTTACTCTTTTTGTTGATTTTGATGTGTGATGGATAAGTGATTCAGAAAAGTCTTATGGTTTCTTTTTTTCTCTCTCACAAAGTATTCTGATGCTCAATTGTAAAAATCTGTCTGTAATACTTAAGAGTGTTCCGTTCAGACTCAGCTTATTGGTTCAATATATAACTTTAAAATGGCTCTTTTACTTTTGTTTTTCATATTCACTGCTTTCCCAAATCTTTGAAGCTTGATTTCACAATTTTTAATCATGCCAGCTTGTTTATTTCTAATTTCACGGTGTTAATTTCTTTGATTAACGTTCTCGTTCTCTATTACTTCTCATTTTTCTAAGATTCTATTTCTTTATCAGCGCCCACATGGAGGCCTCAATATCCGGATCAATTGACGATGATTTTGCTCCGGAGCCGCGTGGAAGATGCTATACTTGGCCTATGCAACAGTTTGTATATGAACCTCCTGGAACTAATTTGAATGACTCAAACACTTCTGTCTGTCGTGAACAGACTGTTGGTCAGCTTCTTCAAGCTACACCTTCTTCTTCTAATATGGGCTCGCATTTAATGCCTCTTGGAGGCATTCCAATGGGCGCTGGCGCACCAGGCATGCAAGCTCCTGCTAAGAAGAAGCGTTGTCGCAAGAAGCCAGCAGATCAACTGGCACAGAAAAAGCCAAATCCATGGGGTGAAGAGTCATATTCGGATATCATTGCCAAGGCTCTAGAATCTGCTCCTGAGGGCCGGTTGAAACTTAATGAGATATATCAATGGTTTTCGGACAATATTCCTTATTTCCGTGAGCGTTCTAGCCAAGAAGAAGCTGCTGGATGGAAGGTTTGTTTAATTTTTCATATCCTATGACTCGATTGATCTATGTTGTATAATGGGCTGCTCTTGAAGTTTTTTTTCCTTTTTGACACGAAGAAAACAAAATTTCATATTTTGCACTAAATCTGTGTCCCATCAGCTGAGCAACAGTTGCCATCTGTGCCTCTTGTGTCTGAACGTTTTTGACATCTCATCTCGTTTACAAGAATTTGACACTTCTATTAAAAATGAAAACAGGCTAGGAACGGGAACTTACTTATATTTCCTTTTTTCTTAATTTTTCAATGATCATATTATAACTTAATATCTTCTTCAAGATATTAGTCTTGTTCCCTTTCTATATCTTCTTTATCTTCACTATGTCCTCTCTTATTGTTCATCGCTCTCTCTTCTTCATTCTAATGCTGCTTTGACCATCTCGTACAGACATCTCATGTGTATAAACTGGTGATCGACTGGCCTGGCCTTTATGATGAGGTTTCGAAAGAGGACAGCCTTATGGTACGAGGCTATCTGTCCCTTCGTCCTCAGCTCATCTGGCCTTTTCATAATCCTAATAATGAGTCGCGCATTAAGAAGAAAAAGGCAGATTTTTTTTCTTATTCTGCAAGTGACAATTCATCTGCAAGCGGGCATTTTTAGAATAAGCTAAAACCAATTGGAGATATGATTAAAGCAAAAATTTTAGCTAGTAAATAGCTATTTATCAATATTTTGTCAACAGCCATTACGGTATGGTATTTGGCAGCTGAGAGTCTTGACAGCTATACTTGTATCTCTTCTATCCGAGTACCACATTTCTCGGTTTTTCATTAAATAGTTTTGATAGTCAAGTAAGCTACTTTGCCTCATTTTTCCTCTTCTCTCCTCTAGTAGTTGTTTTTCTCCAGCAAATCAATATACTTCTTGTTATTTTGTTTGGCAGCTTACCAACTATTCCATCCACCGCACTCCCCTCCATCATGAACACACAAAGAGAAAAAAAAATAAGCAGAGAGAGAAAGAGAGAAAAAAAAAGAAAAACACACACACTTACATACATACATACAACTCTTCATTGCCACATCTTTGCAACTTCTCATATTTGATGTACGATGAAGAAAGATTGATAAGTTTCATGCAAAAAAAAAAACTTCCATGTTTTTTCTTTTGAAAATGAGACGGAAAGTAGTGTTATTGTGTTGTTCGAAACTTATGCTTACTAATTGAGCTGTTTCATTTTGATGAGATTGTACGGTTTTCTGAAGTATTGAAGAGTTTTGGAAATGACAGAATGGATGGACTGCTAGCAGTCTAATTCCTTCTTCTTCAGTAACTCTTTATCTAGAAAGATCACAAGGACGCATTCGATCTTTTCTATTCTCTCTGCAACTTCGCGTATTTTTTCTTCCTGTCTCAAGAAAAAAAAAGAAAGAGGTTGTATAGAAAGAACGGGTGTTCTTGTGGAGGGAATTCGTTCTATTCGTGAATTAATTTTATAGAGAATAGAATAAAATTGAATGGCTGGTGCTGCCAATTTTTTTTTCATTTCATCACCCTATCTCCACGCAAATATAACCATATATATATGTATAAATATATATATATATATATATATATATATGACTTCCTCAAATTCATATAGGCTAATCGCGTCGTTCAACAAATGATAATAGCCATGACAATGAATTTAAGATGTAAAATCGGAGACCTACATTCTTCTTTCCTTCTTTTTTTTTGAATGACAAAAGGAAGAGGAAAACGTTCTGATTTTCGTGATTGAATTTAACGTTGCTCCAAGTTGATTTGATGTTCGTATTGACCAAGATTCTATACGAAGTCACAACAAGGAAATATAGTACAGTCAAAATGATCGTTTGAATGTATGTGGGAACTAGTTATGATTTATTTAATGGCAGATTATCAACTCGCTAGGTCCCACTTTTCATTGATTAACGTCATCAATTGAAATATTTATTTGATGAGAGACAAAATAAGAAAATGGGAAAAAAAATAGAAAACAGCTGATTTACTGCTTCTTTTATTAGCTGAGTTTTGCTTCATTTTACTTTCCATAGCTGTCATTGAACCTTGTGAAAGATATTGCCTTGTTTTACTTCAACAAAAAAATGGAGTTATATGCAAAGAGTTTCATCTGTCTTAAGCAAGTCAATAGCTTGATGAAAGATTCCTAATTCTCATTCATTTTGACTCATAATGTTTGAGGTCAGACAATGGGCCTCTTGGAAAAGTATATCCCTCTTACAATCCCGGATAAGATCGAGGTCGGCCTGATGAGGAGTTGTATGTTGAGTGGTAAATGATGCTGGGTTCGTCACTTAGTGGCATCGTGTGGTCTGTTTCAGAAAAAAAAAGGACGAGGGTTCTAGTGTGAGATGTGCCAGTGTGATCAATCACTCGTCGTATTACCATCAGGTAATAGAAGGTGACAAGAGAAAAGTTGATTTGACTGACGAGGCCCGTTAAGTATACTGAGAAAAGAAAGAAAAAAAGTAGGAATATCCCTACTACTATCGCCGTCCATGCGGATAGATAGCAAACGTTAATGCAATCGTAGTAATAGTAACGATACGTAATGCATGAATTGTGTAGAAACATGGATAGATGAGGCGAGAGATGAAATCCAACAGTGCACGATGCGACCCTCGATTATCTTGATAACGTCACTCTCATTCTCTCTTCGTTACTCCGATAAAATATAAGTGATTAACGAAAATGTAACAAAGAAGTGTCAGAATATGGGATTTTTTCTTTTTTACTATTCAATAGAAGCTCCATATATAGTTATGTATAATTATATATTGGTTCGAACGGAACAGCTGATTTCCTTGTACGATCTTACTTTGTTGCTAATCACCCTCCGTTCGATATTACAAAGATTGCTTACTATTAAGCTCAACCAGGTGCTGCTTATCTTGATAATGTTAATTATTTTCTTCGACATAATTATATATTTTGGCTTGTGCTATATGACTACGAAGAGAAGTGAAGAGTCTAGATGATTTGGAGCAAATTCTCGCAATTTATTTCCATTTTTTTGCGACTCTCTCTCTCTCTCTCTCTTTCTTTTCCCCTTTTCTTCCTTTTCATGGTTGTTTACCAATGAAGTTCATTTTTGACACTGGGAAATTCCCATATAAGGCTACTTCGTGCTTGTTTACGAAATGACTGGACCTCGCCGATTTATATGTATATATATGGACAGATTGGCAACTTGATATCAACTTCATTATTTTTTTTTCGACCAAATGGTTCTCCAATTTTCCATTTCAATTTCCTAAAATAGATCATTGTGGGCTGATGTGCCTGTCGGTATTCTGTATCTTTCAGCTTTTCATCAACATAGACCATATATAGAAATAGATAAAAAGTGTTATATGAAATCTAATAATAGATTCATAATATGCTATTTGATGAAAATCACAATTGTCTGCTAAAATTAACAATTTGCCAATCTTTCATACATAATCATTCCTTGTGTCTGAGAGCAGTATGTGTATGTGACATATTAAAAACTATACGAAAATGCATTCATTCTCCCGTTCGTTCGTTGACTGGCCAGTTGTACTTCCATCCGTAAACACAAGTACACGTTAGGAGCACATGCATTTTCGGCTAATATAGATGGAATTTGAACATATACTTTTCTCATTTATAAAACCATCGGTGGCAGCTTTATTTAGGGACGAAACTTTTAAAAAGCACACAGAAAGGTTGCATTACATATTCATTCACGTCAACTATATTTGGCAGGTGTGTGCTAACTACGAAAACTTTCGTCTTGCCAACGAGTTTAATAATGTTGCACACAAGTTGCGAAATGCTTTCGAACGCTTTGTTTAAAACCTCTTCCCTCTTCTTCATGTAATAGAAAATGAATGAAAGATTTATTTGCTGGTTGTGCAAATTGTCTATCTTTTGCTATCTTCTATGCTCCTTTACTTCTTCGTTCATCCGCAATACTGCCGTCGTTGTCCATCGGGAGACGGGTGCTACCAGGCAGTGGACGGCGCGCAGCCGTGCCGCGAGCTGAACGCCGTTCGTCAGGCCAAAGACTATTCGAGGAGTGGGGTGGTGGCTGGTGCTGCTGCTGTCGCTTTTCATAGTCGTGGTGTGGTCATCTCTCAGCTTTTTTTCCTACTGCTAAGGCTTTGTGTATAGACTCTCATATTCTAGCCGTTTTACTCTCATATTCTAGGCTTGTGTTCTTCATCTCAATTTTCCCACATGAGCTTAAGCTTGTGGTCAGCAACGGAAAGACAGAGAACACGAGAGATGACATCTATGGTCAAATAACGAAAACTTAATAGTAGGGGAGAAAGAAAAATAAAGCTTAAGAGGAAGAAGCATCCGATTATATATATATATATATATATATATATATATATATA